TTTTCGGGATTTTATTTTAATTTACATAAAATATTTAAAGTATTTTTTTTATTTGAAATTGTTTACATATTTTTCTTCACATCATGTATTTTTAAAATTTTGAAAAAAATAAAATGATTTTGTAAAATGTTCATTTTAATAAAAAAAAGGGGGGAAAATTTAAATTATATCTTGCATTTTTTAAAAGATTACCGGGTTTGGGCTTATTAAAAACCCCCCACTTTTGGATAAAAATCCCTGCTTTTTAAAACCCAAAAACCCCCCTATCTGGTGGCTGGAAATTGGCATGTATGCAAAGGGTGACTTTGTTTTGAAAATAAGCGGGTTTAAAACACAAATATTTTTTTTAAAACTTTTGTTTCTGTTTCCTTGAAAAATAAGATGACAAATTAAATTTTTACAAGGGGTTTTTTGGGGCGACTTTTTGCTATTAACTGGATTTTTATGTGAGAAATTTATACACTAAAATGTCCTTTTTCTGCCTAAAATAATTGAAGAGGGACTTCATGGTATTTATTTAAAAATGTGTTTGACTTAAAATGAAAAAAATTTTGACAGTTTTTTTAGTTTTAATAGGGAAAAAGATTTCAAAGTTTCGAGACCAAATGTAGACTGAAAATCCAAACAAACTTGAGTTTTTAAAAAAACCATTTATTTTTGGCCTCAGTGGAGAGGGTTTAAAGGTTGGTGGCTGACTTAACTTGTTTCCCCTTTCACCCCCGTGGATCCTTTAAAATAACTAGAGGAATGAAATAATGCATGAAGGAGAACCTTTAGTCTACTTCAATCAGTAAAGCTGGGAAGTTGTTTAAAATATACACAGTCAGTTCGCCTCGAAACCCAACTAAACAAAACAAATTTACATGCCAGAATTATTCATAATTCCTTTATTTGAAGAGTTTATTGAAATGTAAATAATTTTGATCTGTTTTACAGCTGAGAAGTTCCTTGAGTCAGTAGAAGGCAATCAGAATTATCCATTATTGTTACTGAACTTGGTAGATAAAGCCGATGCCGAACAGTCAATACGTGTCTCTTCAGCTATAACATTCAAAAATTACGTGAAGCGTAATTGGAGAGTGGTTTGTACATTGTTTAACATCCATTAATATCATGGTCATTGAGATTTGAGCACAATTTTATATTTAAATTCAGTTATATGTAAATTTGGCAGTTTAAAGTTTTCTTTATCATTGCCCTTTATTCACAGTTTAAAGTGATCATTTTCTAGACTTGTTTCAAAAACTGGTCGTATCATAGGAACGCCCCTGGTGGGCAGATGGGCAATCTGGGAAATCAGAGAAATGACATGTTTTCAAAACAGGTTGTTCCCCTTAACATAACCTATTCTTGTTTTAATGATTTCATTATGTTTCTTTGATGACAAAAGTGTGTCCTGTCCTACTTGTTTATACAAGTTTGAAGATAAAATACTTCTGAGAAATAACAGGTCTTCAAAACAAGTTGTTTCCACTTATCATAACCTTTTTCTTGTTTTAATAATTTCATTATGTTTATTTGATGACAAAAGTGTGTCCTGTCCTACTTGTTTATACAAGTTTGAAGATAAAATATTTCTGAGAAACAACATATCTTTAAAGCAAGTTGTTTCCACAATTTTTTTTTCATGTTTTAATGTTTCCATTATGTTTCTTTGATGACAAAAGTGTGTCCTGTCCTACTTGTTTATACAAGTTTGAAGATAAAACACTTCTGAGAAATAACATGTCTTCAAAACAAGTTGTTCCCTTAATATAACCTTTTTCTTGTTTTAATGATTTCATTATGTTTCTTTGATGACAAAAGTGTGTCCTGTCCTACTTGTTTATACAAGTTTGAAGATAAAACACTTCTGAGAAATAACATGTCTTCAAAACAAGTTGTTTCCACTTAACATAACCTTTTCTTGTTTTAATGATTTCATTATGTTTCTTTGATGACAAAAGTGTGTCCTGTCCTACTTGTTTATACAAGTTTGAAGATAAAATACTTCTGAGAAATAAATATGTCTTCAAAACAAGTTGTTTCCACTTTGACTTAACATAACCCTTTTCTTGTTTTAATGATTTAATTATGTTTCTTTGATGACAAAAGTGTGTCCTGTCCTACTTGTTTATACAAGTTTGAAGATAAAACACTTCTGAGAAATAAATATGTCTTCAAAACAAGTTGTTTCCACTTTGACTTAACATAACCTTTTCTTGTTTTAATGATTTCATTATGTTTCTTTGATGACAAAAGTGTGTCCTGTCCTACTTGTTTATACAAGTTTGAAGATGAAACACTTCTGAGAAATAACATGTCTTCAAAACAAGTTGTTCCCTTAATATAACCTTTTTCTTGTTTTAATGATTTCATTATGTTTCTTTGATGACAAAAGTGTGTCCTGTCTTACTTGTTTATACAAGTTTGAAGATAAAACACTTCTGAGAAATAACAGGTCTTCAAAACAAGTTGTTCCCCTTAATATAACCTTTTTAGCTCACCTGTCACAAAGTGACAGGGTGAGCTTTTGTGATCACTTTTCGTCCGGCGTCCAACCGTCGTCCGTCTGTCGTCCGTAAACTTTTACTTTAAATGACATCTCCTTATAAACCACAAGGCCAATTTCATCCAAACTTCACAGGAATGTTCCTTTGGTGGTCACCTTTAAAAATTGTTCAAAGAATTTAATTCCATGCAGAACTCTGGTTGCCATGGCAACTGAAAGAAAAAACTTTAAATATCTTCTTTTAAAAAACCCTAAGAGGTAGAGCTTAGATATTTGGCATGAAACATCTTCTAGTGAGTGTCTACCAAGTTTGTTCAAATAAAAGCCCTGGGGTCAAAATTGGCCCCGCCCCAGGGGGTCATTGATTTTCCCTATATGCATATAGTAAACTTAAAAAATCTTCTTTTAAAGAACTCAAAGAGCTAGAGCTAAGATATTTAGCATCAAACATGTTCTAATAGGTGTCTACCAAGTTTGTTCAAATAAAAGCTCTAGGGTCAAAATTGGCCCCGCCCCGGGGGTCATTGATTTTCCTTATATGTGTATAGCAAAAACTTAAAAAATCTTCTTTGAAAAAACCCAAATAGCTAGAGTTTAGATATTAAGCATGAAACATCTTCTAGTGAGTGTCTACAAAGTTTGTTCAAATAAAAGACCTGGGGTCAAAATTGGCCCCGCCCGGGGGGGTCATTGATTTTAACTATATGTGTATAGTAAAAACTTTAAAAAATCTTCTTTTAAAAAGCACAATGAGCTAGAGCTTAGATGTTTAGCATGAAACATCTTCTTATAGGTGTCTACCAAGTTTGTTCAAATAAAAGCCCTGGGGTCAAAATTGGCCCCGCCCCAGGGGGTCATTGATTTTCCCTATATGCATATAGTAAAAACTAAAAAATCTTCTTTTAAAGAACTCAAAGAGCTAGAGCTAAGATATTTTGCATCAAACATGTTCTAAAAGGTGTCTACAAAGTTTGTTCAAATAAAAGCCCTGGGGTCAAAATTGGCCCCGCTCCGGGGGTCATTGATTTTCCTTATATGTGTATAGCAAAAACTTAAAAAATCTTCTGTGAAAAAACGCAAATAGCTAGAGTTTAGATATTAAGCATGAAACATCTTCTAGTGGGTGTCTACAAAGTTTGTTCAAATAAAAGCCCTGGGGTCAAAATTGGCCCCGCCCCGGGGTTATTGATTTTTCTTATATGTGTATAGCAAAAACTTAAAATCTTCTTTGAAAAAAACCCAAATAGCTAGAGTTTAGATATTAAGCATGAAACATCTTCTAGTAAGTGTCTACAAAGTTTGTTCAAATAAAAGCCCTGGGTTCAAAACTGGCCCCGCCCCAGGGGTGTCATTGTTTTTAACTATATGTGTATAGTAAAAACTTTAAAAAATCTTCTTTTAAAAAGCCCAATGAACTAGAGCTTAGATGTTTAGCATGAAACATCTTCTTATGGGTGTGTGTGTGGGGGGGGGGGGTGGCTATATATATCTTCATATCTTCAAAACAAGTTGTTCCCCTTAATATAACCTTATCTTGTTTTAATGATTTCATTATGTTTCTTTGATGACAAAAGTGTGTCCTGTCTTACTTGTTTATACAAGTTTGAAGATAAAACACTTCTGAGAAATAAATATGTCTTCAAAACAATTTGTTCCCCTTAATATAACCTTTTTCTTGTTTTAAAGATTTCATTATGTTTCTTTGATGACAAAAGTGTGTCCTGTCCTACTTGTTTATACAAGTTTGAAGATAAAACACTTCTGAGAAATAACAGGTCTTCAAAACAAGTTGTTCCCCTAAAAATAACCTATTTGTTGTTTTAATGATTTCATTATGTTTCTTTGATGACAAAAGTGTGTCCTGTCTTACTTGTTTATACAAGTTTGAAGATAAAACACTTCTGAGAAATAAATATGTCTTCAAAACAAGTTGTTCCCCTAAAAATAACCTATTTGTTGTTTTAATGATTTCATTATGTTTCTTTGATGACAAAAGTGTGTCCTGTCTTACTTGTTTATACAAGTTTGAAGATAAAACACTTCTGAGAAATAACAGGTCTTCAAAACAAGTTGTTTCCACTTTGACTTAACATAACCTTTTCTTGTTTTAATGATTTCATTATGTTTCTTTGATGACAAAAGTGTGTCCTGTCCTACTTGTTTATACAAGTTTGAAGATGAAACACTTCTGAGAAATAACATGTCTTCAAAACAAGTTGTTCCCTTAATATAACCTTTTTCTTGTTTTAATGATTTCATTATGTTTCTTTGATGACAAAAGTGTGTCCTGTCTTACTTGTTTATACAAGTTTGAAGATAAAATACTTCTGAGAAATAACATGTCTTCAAAACAAGTTGTTCCCCTAATAATAACCTATTTCTTGTTTTAATGATTTCATTATGTTTCTTTGATGACAAAAGTGTGTCCTGTCTTACTTGTTTATACAAGTTTGAAGATAAAACACTTCTGAGAAATAACTGGTCTTCAAAACAAGTTGTTCCCCTAAAAATAACCTATTTGTTGTTTTAATGTTTTCATTATGTTTCTTTGATGACAAAAGTGTGTCCTATCCTACTTGTTTCAGACACTATTGCAGAGTACCCCTATCTTGGACTTCCTCTTTAGGCTTCATATTTAATTGTAGGTATAATATATCATATATATGAACAAATTCTTGAGAATTATAAATAAAAATTAAGATTTTTTCTATGATGATAAAAGTGTGTCCTGTCTGACCTGTATTGCCAGGGTTGATGAAAGCACATTTCTGAGAAACATTGTTTTGTTGTCATGGCAACTATTATATGAAGACTGATTTATATATTGATAACATTTTTATGTATGAAATTATGAATATGAATATTTTAGATTGATGACGTTCCAAATAAAATACATGACCAGGATAGACAAACTGTGAAACAACTTATTGTTGGTCTGATGTTGAAAAGTCCAGAACAAATTCAAAAACAGGTAAAGAATTTAGTTTATAACAGGAAAAGTGAAATATAACAATTCTTAAAGTGACCAGATAAATTGTTTTTGAGATTTCGTAACTAAATACTGTGTAATGTTGAGCAATGAATCAGTAAAATATTAATAGATTTTCAAAATGTCAAAGCATTTATAAACAAGTTTCTTTCTTCACAAATTATCAAGAATATGGTGTTAGTGAAAGACTATCATTGTATCTTCTAATGAAATTGTTTTACTTCATTAAATGGAAAAAAAAACAACAAAAAACTTCTAGTTTGAGTAAATGAAAAGAAAAAGAGAAATATTTCTTACAGTGTATACAATTTTTGTAATGCTGAAGTCGGCGGGCGGGTGGGCATCAACTTTTGGTTTCCGCTCAATAACTTTAGTTTGCTTTGCCCTATTGACACCAAACTTGGTGTATGGATAGCTTATATCTAGAGGCAGCTTGGGATCGCTATCCAGTTGTCTGTGATCAAGGTCACTGTTACTAAAAATAGAAATTCAGTTTCTGCTCAATAACTTGAGTTTGCTTTGGCCTATTGACACCAAACTTGGTGTATAAATAGCTTATATCAAGAAGCAGCTTGGGATTGCTACCCAGATGTCTGTGATCAAAGTCAAGGTCACTGTTACTAAAAATAGAAATTCAGTTTCCGCTCTATAACTTGAGTTTGCTTTGGCCTATTGACACCAAACTTGGTGTATGGATAGCTTATATCAAGAGGAAGCTTGGGATTGCTACCCAGGTGTCTGTGATCAAGGTCAAGGTCACTGTTACTAAAAATAGAAATTCAGTTTCCGCTCAATAACTTGAGTTTGCTTTGCCCTATTGACACCAAACTTGGTGTATGGATAGCTTATATCAAGAGGCAGCTTGGGATCGCTATCCAGTTGTCTGTGATCAAGGTCAAGGTCACTGTTACTAAAAATAGAAATGCAGTTTTTGCTCAATAACTTGAGTTTGCTTTGACCTATTGACACCAAACTTGGTGTATGGATAGCTTATATCAAGAGGCAGCTTTGGATTGCTACCCAGATGTCTGTGATCAAGGTCACGGTCACTGTTACTTAAAATAGAAATTCAGTTTCTGCTCAATAACTTGAGTTTGCTTTGCCCTATTGACACCAAACTTGGTGTATGGATAGCTTATATCTAGAGGCAGCTTGGGATCGCTATCCAGTTGTCTGTAATCAAGGTCACTGTTACTAAAAATAGAAATTCAGTTTCTGCTCAATAACTTGAGTTTGCTTTGGCCTATTGACACCAAACTTGGTGTATAAATAGCTTATATCAAGAAGCAGCTTGGGATTGCTACCCAGATGTCTGTGATCAAAGTCAAGGTCACTGTTACTAAAAATAGAAATTCAGTTTCCGTTCTATAACTTGAGTTTGCTTTGGCCTATTGACACCAAACTTGGTGTATGGATAGCTTATATCAAGAGGTAGCTTGGGATTGCTACCCAGGTGTCTGTGATCAAGGTCAAGGTCACTAAAAAATAGAAATTCAGTATCCGCTTAATAACTTGAGTTTGCTTTGGCCTATTGACGCCTAACTTGGTGTATGGATAGCTTATATCAAGAGGCAGCTTGGGATTGCTACCCAGGTGTCTGTGATCAAGGTCAAGGTCACTGTTACTAAAAATAGAAATTCAGTTTCTGCTCAATAACTTGAGTTTGCTTTGGCCTATTGACACCAAACTTAATGAATGGATAGGTTATATCAAGTGGCAGATTGGGGTTGCTATCCAGGTGTCTGTGATCAAGGTCAAGGTCACTGTAACTAAAAATAGAAATTCAGTTTCTGCTCAATAACTTGAGTTTGTTTAGCCTATTGACACCAAACTTGCTGAGTGGCACCTTTGGATTGCCACTAAGATATCTGGGAGCAAGTTCAAGGTCATTTGCTTACAATAGAATTTTCAGCTTCTTCTCAATAACTTCAGTGCTTTTTGGCCTATTGATTGCTGTCACCTCAAAACTTGGTAGTTGAAAACCTGGTTTTTGTCGCATTGCGGCGCTTCTTGTCTGTTATTGAAACAGCAACACTTAACAAAAATAAATGAAAAAAATCAATTCATACTATGAGAAAATGAAAAAAATGAATAAAAAAATAATGCAATTCAATTAATATTTCGAAAAATAAATAAACACAATTCATATCTCAAAAAATTTGTCTTTTATATAAATTGAAGTGCCTTGTTAACGCGAACTTGGTTTAATTTTAGCTGTCAGATGCTATCAGTATAATAGGTAGAGAAGACTTCCCAGCAAAATGGCCGGACCTGCTGTCAGAGATGGTGTCCAAATTTCAGACAGGAGATTTTCACATCATCAATGGTGTACTCCGTACAGCTCATTCTATATTTAAAAGGTAAAGTTATACAACTTCAGGTCTTACATGGCAATAGAAAAAGTACAGCTGTTAATTAGGCACATTTTGTTTCATCAGAAATCAGCCATTATGTAAATCAAAAAGTATGTAATAACTTGGAATGTTTAAAGAATTTTGTTGAGTGTTTACCCTTTAGGCAGGAGGATATAGATTTGCCTAGTCAGTCTTGTTATGCTATCCAACTTTAGACTGACAAAACAGTGAAATGTGGGGACAATGACAGATTTCTTGTTTAATTTGCTTGTTTCCGTGATGTCATTGTTTTGTAATGAGTATTTTTAGCTCACCTTGCACATACTTTTAAGATCTATTCCTTAAGACGAGCGATAAAGGGCCATCATGGCCCTCTTGTATTAAAATAGAGTTAGAAGTTAACTGCTATCCACCTGTAAAAATCTTGTTTAATTTCAGATTTGAAAACAGTTTGTCATTCTTTTCTTTCAGATACAGACATGAATTTAAGTCACAGGAACTATGGTCAGAAATCAAATTTGTGCTAGAAAACTTTGCAGCTCCATTCACACAACTATTTAATGTAAGTTTTGGCTAAGATTGTAGTGTCAAAACTGTTACATTTGTAAAATACAAGAATTCTTGTTAAGTAAATTACTTGAAATTTGTTAAAAATTAATCTCCGAAACTAAAAAGTTATTATTAACATGCTGATTATTATTGCAGTGAATGACAAAATCCCGTAATTTTGTGTTTAAATTTGTTAAACCAAATATGTTTATACATTACCAGAGTACCATGGAACTTGCAAAGACACATGCCACAGATCCAAATGCCTTAAAAATCATCTTTAGTTCAATAGTTCTAGAGTGTAAAATATTCTACAGCCTTAACTTCCAGGTAAATTAATTTATACTTCTGTATTCACCTATGTTGCCTGTTATTTCTGGTAGCAGTCTATAGTAAGAGTATTTTTCTAATTTTTAAAATGTTTTCCTAAATTCAGCTTCTTTAAGAATACCTGGCTCATTTTGTAATTGTGTATCAGATGTACTTCAATAATTTACTTGATGCCATGAAGAATGGTTCCTTCCAATGTTTTGTTTTCTTATTTGATAATTGACATTACACATACTATATTGTTTTATGTTAGCAAGCCTCGTCTCTTAAATTGTGCCATACCCAATTATGAGGTAGGGATTTTTATGGCTTATTTTATAGCCAGTTTTCGGGCATTTTCCCAATTGAAAAAAGTATATTATTTTCCCAATCCACAGGAAAAAAATCACAATTGAAAGTAGCAAAATAGAAATATTGAATGAAAAATTATAAAATCTTTGAAAATAAAGGCTTCTTCACTGTCATAGTGCTTAAATGTTTGAAGATGCCATCCAAGACAGTGATTGTTTGCATTCATTAAATCATAGCAAAAGTTCATGCAATTTTTCCCAATTTTTAACAAAACATCGCTGAAATTCCCAATTCCATGAGTATGGGTCATTTTCCCAAAATCCTGTAAAAAATATCCTACATAAATTCAAAATTTCAGTCTAAGTTTTACTATAAAACATAAGATATGATAATTTTATGACAGAGCTTTAAGAATGTATAATAAGGCAAACACTTTCGGCAAATGAAACACAAAATTATTATTACACAGCATTTAACATGTATCTACTACTTGTGCTAGTGGTAATTGTGTTTTGATAATGATTATTTACAGGATTTGCCGGAACATTTTGAAGACAACATGCCCATCTGGATGACAAATTTTCTCCAGCTTCTATCTATAGACAATAAACTTCTAAGAACAGATGTAAGTTTGTAAATGTTTAATCTCCCCATTAGAGTGGTACAAAAAGACTTGTATTCTTCATTGTACATTCAATAAGAGAAGTCACAAAATGATTTTAGAAACTCTCATGAGGAAGGTATTCAGGTAGCTTTGGTTTTCTCAAGATATTCTTCTGTTTGTCTTATATAATGTTTGGAACTTCATCTGACAATTACAGCTCATAAGTCACCATCTGACTAACTGAATAAGTAAAGCTGGAAAGTAGCCATATAACCTATACTGCGTTGATGTGACGTAAATAAACACAACAACAAAAAACAGAATGTGTATGTCTAGCATGTGTATGTCTTAAATTTATAAATTACACGCAGAAAAAACAGTAAAAATTTGCTTATAATCAGAAAAATAGGTAAAATTTGGTGAAACACAGAAAAAACAGTTAAAAATGTGTACTAGTTTTCTTATTGCTATTTCTACAGATTGCTTTTTGTGCGTCCATGGCTGAGTGGTTAAGGTCATTGACTTCAAAACACTTGCCCCTCTACACTGTGGATTCGAATCCCGACAGGGACTTTGGATTCTTTCATGCGAGGAAGCTATCCAGCTAGTTTACAGAACGTCAGTGGTTCTACTCAGGTGCCCATTCGTACATGAAATAATGCACAGAAGGGCATGTGAGGTCTTCCTCCACCAGTAAAGCTGGAACGTTGCCATACGACCTTTAATGTGTCGGTGTGATGTAAAACCCAATTAAACAAACAAACAAATTGTTTTTTGTTTTAAGTGAATAACACTGTAGTAGTTATAAAAATTTATATGGGATGTATAATTGTATATTATATTACACAAACATGACAGGATGAAGAAGAGGCAGGATTATTAGAGCAGGTTAAGTCACAGATTTGTGACAATGTGGCCTTATATGCACAGAAATATGATGAGGAATTCTCCCCTCATTTACCAGGCTTTGTTACTGCTATATGGAACTTACTCACCTCAACAGGGCATGAAGTCAAATACGATCTGGTAAATAATACAGTCTTTAGTTGATATATTTGAATATTCTAGAAAACAAATGGTTTAAAGTAAAGTCAGATACTAATGATCCTCCTATAGGCTATGGGTAAGATTATAAATTATCATCTTACAAAAGAATTATGATGAGTTTAAAAGGGTTATTATTGATGTTTTGTTTATTGATATCCTGAAGAATTGATAGATTGAATAATGTCATACATGTATTTACTAAGCTGTTTTCTGGACATATGAGTTAACTGTAATTTCAACTAAAATGACAAGTTGATTCATCAAAATAAGTAGTTTGCTATTTTCAATTAAATTTTGTATCAATAGATAAGTCTTACTATTTGTTCATATACAAACCTTTACTTTTGATCAAAGATATTTCTCAGTTCTGAAATGAATATCATATTTTGCAGCTTGTGAGTAATGCTATACAGTTTCTGGCTTCTGTTGCCGAGCGACCTTCTTACAAGAGCCTGTTTGAAGAGCCAACTATTCTTGCTAGTATATGTGAGAAAGTCATTGTTCCTAACATGCAGTTCAGAAGTAAGTTTCTCTATGTAACTCTTTAAAGTTGGTGCCTCTACCAATCAGAGTCATACCAGACAGTTACAATAGGCTACTTAATGTTCAGCAATTTATTAATGAGATTTACTACAAACAGTTCTCAATCAAAGCAGAGCAAATGCAAAACGTTTATACATCAAATCAATGGTTAATCATTCACTGAAGTAGATACAGCACTAGTAATGGACTTGTTGGTTTTGAATTGATACCATTGGTTCTGCAAATGCTATCTGAGAATAGTAGTTTGAAATCTTTAACATGTAAAAATATAAAAAAATGACAGTTGTTTACAGCATGATGAAAACAAGTGTGTCCTGTCAGAGATCTATTCCGATTCAGTGATGATACATTGTTTACTGATCATATGTTGTTAAATTTTTAAAGTGAATTTATTGAAGGTCTGTAATACAATGAAAGTAATTTGTATCAGACATAACAACAAAACACAAAAGAAATATATTGTCACCTTAGTGCAATAATGTAATAAGTGCTTCTTAATTTAATAGCAGTTAATCAGTTATTGCACTAAAGTGACAATAATGAATATATATGAATGCTGTTGACAAATGTGAGATACGTGATCCAATATTACAATATAATGATATAACAGATAATAAATTGTTCTAGAATAAAGTATTAATCATCATATAAATGTTCAAGCTAAATCACTTAAATCTTATGAACATTATTTATCTAGCAAAATTTTATAAAGAATATACAAATGATACATTATTCTGTTATCAATATTTGAAAAACTGATGGAAAATGTGCCAAATGTAGACCAGGGCCGGCAAAATCAATTGTCTGAGTTGCCCGAGTCGTAAAATTGTAGGTCCGGGCAAGTAAAATTCTGCAGTTTACTTGTCCGTGGACAAGTAAATTTCGGCGGCTAAAAGAGGAATTCTGAAGAAAAAAATCTAGTTCTTTTTATAATAGATCTAAATCAGAAGGAAAATCACACATTTAATACGAAAACTAGTGTGTGAAGTGTGGTGTCATTCATGAGGGCATTCCGTGCATATTAGGGTGTTACTATTTTTAAGTGTTTACATAAATAGCGACCAACCAGGCTTGGGGTTTTCCTTACGTCATGCAGTTACTGCATGCACGCGGCAATTAACTAATTATTGAGGGACATGTTTGTTTTGGTTTATGTCTGCCGACTTAGCCTCTGTAATCAAATATTTTCGGTAGCAACGGGGTTCTGCCATAAAATTGAATTGGAAGCTGTGGTCTTTTCAAGCGTATTTATTGTTTAGATAGCAGACACAGCATCAATCCCGCAACAATTGTCTTTGAAATACCGCTGTGTTGTTTATGAAAATGTAGCTTTTCCAGGTCATTTGGGAATATTTACGCTCATATCGGCAATTTGACTGCTTGAATTTATGTGGACAAAGTCATTTTATAATTTATTTTATGTAAAGATTTCTTGTGAAAATGCCTTTGTTTTTGAATGTCTAATACTGGTGTTAATGTATACATGTCAGTTTCATCGTCGCCGATGGTAATGATGTCAAAATTTTCACAATTCATCTGCTGCAACCAAGCGTATATACGTATATGATATTACATTCTGTGGCAATCATAATTTTATCGTTAAAAAAAGCCAGATGTCATCAATTTGAACAAATCTAACTCAAGAGTACATATGATTTTTTAACAGGATTCAAATGAATATTATATAGATGAATAGAATAAGGAGTGAATAAATAAGAAATGGTACCAGAGTGCAAAAAAAAATGAAGACAATATTTTAAAGCAATTTGGGTGCAAGGAAAACTGAAAAAGTGCTGGCAAAAGACCAATGCTCCTTCCAGTAAAATATACACAATTTGTCCATCACTGTCGTCCTACTTTAATCTACTGCCCGTTAACATTTTATAAAATATATTATATTATAATCATAATATATTATATTATTAAACATATGGGCATAGAATGTTTAATAAAATTGAAAGAAAGTTCATAATCATATTGCTCTTCTTTATTGACATTTGCAGTAAATATTAAATATAAATACGGACAAGTGAACATTGAGTACAGACAAGTAAATTTCTTAGGTTACTTGTCCGTGGACAAGTACAATTTTCTACGATTTTGCCGGCCCTGTAGACCAATCCACTTTAAATAAATCTCATAATATTTGTTTACAGGTATGGTATGTTTGTAGATATTTTGATAATGACCATGTTTATTTCAGCCTCGGATGAGGAATTATTTGAGGACAATCCAGAAGAGTATATTAGACGTGACATCGAGGGCTCAGGTTAGTAACTAGTCCTATTTTAATCTCAATCATTCCCCACGGTTTTACAACACATGAGATAAAATTTTCTTTATATTCCTTCAGTTTTGTTTAAATTGAATTAGTTTTCAAAAATTTTAACTATTTCAGCTGATAACCTTTCAATTTATATTTTTCTTAAAATTTAGAAAATTTATATTTTTTTTACAATGTAGAAGTTAAAACAGAAAAGTTTATACATTTAAGATAGTTACATTTCTTATATAATTAATTATTTGCTGGGTGATAAAGCTACTTATATTCACATCAAACTGTGGTGTTTCTAACAAAATACATCTCATTTAGTACGGAATAGTTCTGAATTATATCACTGCTGTATTAGAGACAGTTGTACTGTAAAGAAATCAAGGTTTACATGTTGACTTTCTGCCTTGTAGATGTAGACACACGGAGACGTGCAGCCTGTGATCTTGTGCAAGCTTTATGTAAATCATTTGAAGGTCCTGTTATACAGAACTTCTCACAATATGTACAAGGACTTCTTACAGTATGTTGACTTTATTTTCCTGTCGTATGTCACACCAACACTTTAAAGCCCATATGGCAACTATCGAGCTTTACTGGGGGAGTAAGATCTCAAGTGCCTTTCTTTGCATTATTTCAGACATGAAGTGGCACCTGAGTAGAACCGCCAATGTTCTATAAGCTAGTTAGATAGTGTTCTTACATGAAAGAGTCCAAAGTCCCTGACGAGATTCATATTCACAGTGACTAGTGGCTTGTGGTTTGATATCAACATCCTTAACCACTCGGCCAGGGATGCCTCCAAGTCATTAACATAGTTGCCCTCTTAATTGGTAGAGATTATAATTACAATATTGATGTGAAAAAGTTTGACTATTTCAAGTGTCAAATGATACTTTCTATTGTTTTGCTAATGTTGGTCTTTTGTTTGGTAGATAGTTTTTCAATGTTTGTTGCCAATGTTTTATGTTAACTTGCTAATGTTTGAAGGAAATACACATATCAACTCGGATTAGTAAAATGTGAGTGCATCATTAGGGTGTTTTAAATTAAGTTAGCTTAATTTGATAAAAGAAGCCTTCTTAAAGTTCTTCTCCATTAAATTGATTTTTGATCATAATAGAAAGTATTTGTGTAATATATGTTAATTGCTTTACTATCATTCAGTGTTAATGTTTTACAGGAGTATGCATCCAGCCCTACAGAGAAATGGAAGAGTAAAGATGCAGCAATATACCTGGTCACATCTCTAGCAGCCAAAGCTCAAACACAAAAAGTAAGATTAACATGTAATGGTGTTATATGGGAAAATAATAAATGTTGTGTTGCTATTATTGCACATTCAAAAGTAATTATGATTAGGAGCTTGTCTATCTGTTAGCAAAATCAGCATCCACTTAATAATTTAACTTTTCAATATGCTGTCTTCATTCTTAGCTTGTAGGATGGTCATGGCCAGTAGATGACCAGTAGTACTTTTGATTTGAATTGGATCAAAGGTCAAAATCTCAGTGACACTTACTGTAAAATCCTTGTCCAATCAATAGCTAGATGAAGAATAAGCTTAGGTGTGTGAAACTTGCTAGGGACATTGCCTATGGCCAGGAAATGACTCTTATCTATTATATTATGTCAAAAGTCAAGGTCCAATAACACTGGATATAATCCTAAGCAAAGGTATTGTATTGGCATTGCACATTTCCAGCTGAATGAGCCCATGTTTATTTTGAGGTCACTGAGGTTGTTTTCCTTTCTTTTTCAATCAAGTCCTATCACATTTTAACATTGTATGTCTTTTACAACAGTATGTACTCCAGACATATAATGTTCTAACATGCCATGCTCTTGTTTATGATTGATTAAACTTTACTGTTAAGATGGCAGAAAGTTACAAAAATATTATATTTTATTTGCAGCATGGTATTACTCAGACAAGTGAACTAGTAAATATTACCGACTTTTATAACACCCATATAGCTCCTGATATACAAGACCAAGATAGTAAGTTATTCTATTTATAGGCATTTTAAAACATAGTCTAGACAAGTTTACAAAATTAAAATTGTTATGCTAGAAATCTTATATATCTTCCTTTGACAATGTATATAGTGAAGAAACTGGAAAATAAGAAATATGTAGTTTGCATGTAAATTACAAGAATTGATTAAGAATGAAAAGAAAATTCTATATTGTAAACAGGGAGTTAGTTTTAAACACCAGATTGTAGGATTGATTTTACAATAAGATGTGAATCACATCATGATTTATATATATAGAGAGGAAACTTTGAAATCAATGAAAATCCACGAAGAAGAGAGAACCTATCTTTAATGATCAATTTGATAATTTACTTGTCCAAAATACGCAGCTGATTTAAAAAAAAAGAAAAGAAAAAAAAAAAAGATTTATTCACTTGTCTTGTGTGTTTCTCTTGTAGTTAATTCAAAGCCGGTTATAAAAGCTGATTGCATAAAGTATTTAATGGTGTTTAGAAATCAGGTAAGATTTTTTAAGTTGCATTTAATTGTTAATAATTATGTATAAACCCCATGAAAAAAGAAACAAATTAAAGAAAAGAAACAACAGAATTTGCCAAGCAGGGTTTTTAAAATACAATGTTATGTAAATGTACTTTCTTCAAAATTAAAACTAGATACATTAATCTTTGTAGGGGGCGTCCGTGGCCGAGTGGTTAAGGTCGTTGACTTCAAACCACTTGTCCCTCACCGCTGTGGGTTCGAATCCCGACAGGGACTTTGGATTCTTTTATGTGAGGAAGCTATCCAGCTTCCTTAAGGAACGTCGGTGGTTCTACTCAGGTGCCCGTTCGTGAATGAAATAATGCACGGAGGGGCACCTTAGGTCTTCCACCACCAGTAAAGCTGGAACGTCGCGATATGACCTATACTGTGTCGATGTGACGTAAAACCCAAAAACAAACAAAAAAACAAACAAAATTAATCTTTGCTGTATTGAAGCTTTTGTCAATACATTTCAAAGTTCCAAGTTTTTGTCAGGTCTATTTGTATGTCTTCAAGCACACAACTTCCTCACTTATTTACAGATATATTGCAGGACATAGGTGCTAAATGAACCAATCTTGTTAAAATATCACATTGTTACATAACACAGAGTAATGAGAATTTTTTGTTATTATATCTCTTCCTTTTAGTTACCTAGAGAGGCATTACTTGGTAGTTTTCCACATCTAGTGCGTCATCTGTTGGCACAGAGCCATGTAGTTCATACATACTCGGCACATTGTATAGAAAGATTATTAATGGTTAAAACACCACAAGGTGCTGCGGCGTAAGTTCATAAATCCTTTCTATCTACCACTATGTTGTTCTTTGTTGAACAAATTCTTAGCATACTGTTTTATTCAGAGATAAAAACAATTAACATCAACTGAAATTAATGAGTTGTATAATATGATGGTGATACTAAATTAGAACTTTAATACACCATAAAGAAAAATTTGCAATTTAAGTTTATCGTTGTCAGACATCCCTTATATAAGTGGGAAATTTAGAATGCCAACATAAAATATCATCAATATATTTCTAAAATAATTGAAATTACTTTTACCTTCAGATAGATATTTACTAAATTGATTACATAATTAGATCAGGTCTAATTTGGATGCTTTATAGTTTTGTGTGTTATTAGTGTATATTTTTATACAGGATAACGTATGCAGATGTACAAGGTTGTGCCACTCAGCTCATTGAGAATCTGTTTGGTGCCATGCAACTTCCAGGATCAACTGAAAATGAATATCTTATGAAAGGTAACTAACTAATCATGACTTTGGCATAAAAGATATTACTTAAAATACAACTTACATATTTATATCATTTAAGCTCATAATCTGCTGTATTTTTTAAAAAATGACTTTTTCAGCTTCCATTCTTGGAACTGTCTATTATCACTTTTAAGGGATATGAACTTGAAAATTTAAAGTTAATCAACAACAAAGAGCCTGGTCAGACTGCATGGATATACTAGCTGGCCTGGCTCAATACTGGTGTCACGGCTAATCACTGCAGTTCTAGGAGGTTAAGGTTAAAAGTTGAAAGTTATCCTTAACGGTATTAGCAACATTATTAACTGCTTAGGCTCTTCACTTTGATACAAAAGCCTATACATCAGGATAGTAGGAGAAAGCCATTACACAAAGTTAGTGTAGTTCAATTTAATTGATCTTAAACGAGGTATTTAAAACAAGACAGTATTCAATATAAGTGTCAGTGACTGAGTTAACTTTTAGCTTGACTGTTAAAAAAAGAGTCAGAACTATAGTACTTTCCCAGTGTCAGCATCATACTTAAAGTTGGTATCTATAAAATTACTGGAGAGAATGGGTTTAAACTTCACATGCTTATTTGATAGCATAATTTGAGCTCTTTGTCCACATAACTCCGACATGGATTTTGACAGAAGTATGGTCCTTTTTGAATTTTACATTATCCAGACATGGAGAATAGTCAACCTCAACATCAGACATATATAATACTTCTCATGTTATATAACTACTCACCTGGTTTGAGGAGGGTTAATGCATGACTCGGGTAATTTAAAAAAAAATATGTCAAGATCACAGATGATAATGAAAGATTTAATTTCTGATTTTATGGTGTTGTTATATCATTGCTCTTATATATATTTTTGTTAGAAAAATACTTTTTATAAACATAAATCTTTTCAGAAATTTATTACTTATATTTTGTTAATTAACATTTAGATTGATATTAGAGAACAAAAAAACAAGACATTTTCATGTAAAAAAAATGTATTTATTTACAGCTATCATGCGTAGTACGTCTATGATGCATGAGAATCTTATACCACTTGTATCTGTTATACTGAAAAGTCTGACAGAAAAACTGCTGTTGGTTGCCAAGGTAAGTTGTTCTTTTATATATAAATGACATATTTTTGTCAGTTTTAACACTCACTTTGTTGTTGAAAGCAAAGATTTTTGTTTATGCTGACTCAAAAATAACTATGTTTTATATAACTACATCAATAGAGGATCAATGAAGAATGCTAGCTGACTTATTTGCCCCTTATTGCTGTATTTATATCCTAATTAGGCCTGTGGGACAAAGTGGTTTCATAATAGTCCACAGTTCTTTAATGCTAGAAAGCTATGTAATTATGATATTCAGTGTCGGGGTAAAGGTTTGAAGTTGATAGGAATATTGCTGGATAGAAGTCTTGTAGGTACCAATGTGAATCCTTAACAAATATGGACTGATGTTTACATTTGCCATGATCTCAGCTCAGCAATGTTAAGCTGTACTGACTTCTCCTATACCAACCAACATGGTAGTTACTACAGTTACCAGCATAAAGTAAGGTCTTAAGAACGTTTTTAGTTTTTCACAGAAAGACACAAATACATCTGAATGTTCAACATACAAGCATCTTTTTCATCTGTAGATAATGAATCACCATTAAATAGAAAATGTTTTGTTTCATAGAATCCAAGCAAGCCACATTTCAACCATTATTTGTTTGAGACGATGTGTGTAACAGTGAGAACAACATGTAAAGTAAATCCTGCAGCTGTTACAGAGTTTGAGCAAGCTTTATTCCCGCCATTTACTGAGATATTACAGCAAGATGTACAAGGTCAGTTACAGTGATGATCCATCGAAATTAATATATCTATTATACAAAATTGATAATTCTTGGTTTCTTGAAGCATTTAAACAAAATGATAATTCTTGGTTTCTTGAAGCATTTAAACAAAAAATCTATGTTAAAAAACCCTGAACTATTTACTTAACATTATCATAAACTATTCAATTTGATTTTAAAGTAAAAATTAAACATCTAATGTGTGATTGTTTTGTAAAATTAATGTAAAAGTAAACATTTGGTTGTTTTGAATGATATTTGCAAAATATTTTGTAAATCAGCTGTTTAGTCTAATTAGATATAAAGAATACCCTGCTTTAAAAATATTTTAACATTAATATCAGTTTAATTTAAAATCACTTTGTCTTTAAAAGTAGATGTTTATATTTTGCAGAGTTTATACCGTATGTATTCCAAATCCTGTCGTTACTCATCGAGCTTCATTCAGACTCAATTCCTGAGACATACTTACAGTTATTCCCACATTTGTTGACACCGTTACTGTGGGAACGGCCAGGAAATATTCCTCCATTAGTGAGACTGTTACAGGCATACATAACTAAAGGAGCAAAACAGATTGAGCCTGAAAGATTGGTATGTTACAGCTTTAAATAACTTTTCATGAGTAAATTTTTACCACAGACCCTGCTGTAAGTTTAAGATTCTTATTAACTATTTTATTTGTGATATTTCTGTGAATTTTTTACCTGTTTGCTAAATAATAAAGATGTTTAGATATGACATATATGCTTGTGGTCTTTCCATATAATGTTTTATAATGCTTTTACACAGATAACCATATACATGTTTTATGTAGTTATGCTGACCAAAGTTTGAATCTCTTTGATATCAAATGTTGAACAGTTTAGCTAATTATTGTAAATCATATGATAGAGAAAAAGTATTATTTTGTCATATACATTTATAATATAATAAGTAATAAGATGTTACACAGTTGTATATTTATGTGAATTCTGCCAGTGACTAAGATTCTTTTATGTGGAGAAAGCTATCCAGTTAGCCTATGGATCATTGGTAGTTTTATTAAGGTGCTAGCTTATAAATAAGTGTTAAATATAAGAAACCTGTCAAAGTGAGACAAAAAAATATAAGTCTATGTATCCAAAAATTGATGTTCATTTTAATTTTACAGTCAGGTTTACTTGGAATATTCCAAAAGTTGATAGCATCAAAACAGAATGACCATGAAGGTTTCTACTTGTTGAACTCTATGGTTGAGAAAATGCCTTCGTAAGTTGCTATCTTATATGTGTTTAAGTGTTCTACTTAAAATTTGCTACCTGTGAAAAGTTCCATATAGAAAATATACTTGCAATTATTAATTTGTAAATGTAAAGCAATACTGTTGTATTTTGTTTTTTGTGTCCCCACTTTAGTGGCGGGCATTTAGATTTACCCTTGTCCGTCCGTTCTCTTTTGTGTCGCACGTAACTCAAAAAGTATTTGACCTAGAGTCATGAAACTTTACAGGAATGTTGATCAGCATGTGTATTTGTGCACCTGGGTATTTTCGTCTGGATTTATTAAGTATTTTTAGAGTTATTGCCCTTGACTTATAAAATTTTTGCAATTTTCAACTTGTGTCACATGTACAGTACTGAACACGCGAAACCCGCACAATTCGCGTATTCGCGGCGAACTCTCATGCTTTATAATGCGAGCGAATTCGCGGGAACTTGAGACAATTGCCGCGAATTCAACTCGCGGCGATTTTGCCGTGATTCGAGGGGTATAATACATGTTCATTTGTATAATAAATGTAGATCTATTTATAATTGTACTCTGTGAACTTGAAACCAGATATACATGTACAAGTACGAAAATTAATTAGTAGATCTACATGAAGTTGTATCAAGAAAATCTTGTAATTTTGCTAAAATGCCTTTTCTCTATTTTATCTTTGATGCCAACAGCAAATATAAATAACCACGGCGAAATCAAATAACACCGTTAAAAACTTTCCGTGAATGGCGGAATCATGACCTCAATGTATAAATGCGACGCAGTACAAGTATGCGGCTCCATCGGCAGGTAAATAGTGTACATGTACACGTGTAAAAATATTTTTTAGGGGGGGATACATATTGAGTTTAAGTAGAGATATAAATATAATATATGTGTAAAAAGATATTTAGTTACATAAAAAGATACATATTTGATACGACATTAACTTGTTCATTTCTAAATGTATCCCCATATTGAAAACGTTAGTACATAAGACATAAATTCAAGCATGGTCAAATTACCGATGTGATAAACTAATCCTGCGTAAATATTCCCGTACGACCTGGAAGAGTTATAGTGGATCACCGGGACATTTCGTCTCTCGGTGATCATTACTCAATTCATTACACGTCTGTAAAAAAATAACACACGCAAGATTTGTCTCCTATAATGGCGGATATTTGCACCCCTGTTTTAAAAATGTTTAAAATATTTAATTGTTAGTTACCCAAAATTATCGCCGATTGTTGAAATTCCATAGCGCTAAAAGACACAAAAACACTCGCGCAAAAAGAAGCATCCATAAATAAAAAGGAATATAATGTTTCCATTGTTAAATAATAAATACAAAAATTTACACACGAAATGACCTCTGACAAATGACTGGTCGGCTCTTCTGAAGAATCTGTGAATCTTTGATGTTTACACACCTGTAGTTGTTGCCGAATCATCAAAGAAATGCCGACACTCGATTGACTTCCACCTCATTTTTATATATCAGAAAAAAAAACTGTCATTTCTTTTTGTCAAGGAATGATTACACATGTTTAATTATTGCTCAAGTAAAAAGAAATGTTGGATATTGATTGTGGTCAATTATTGACATATTATTAATCGTAAGTGCATTTTGATTGTGATATTTTATTTACATTTTTTATGATCTTGAAAGATATTGTGCAATACTTGTGTCTGCTATTTCAAAACAATAATGCATATGAAAGGACCACAGCTTCCAAAAATTTATTTTTTCAGTCAATTTTATGACAGAATCCCCGCTGCTTACCAGAAATGTTTTATTGCATGTTTTACAATTTTCAACAAATCATAATTAGCGTATTAGACGTAATAATTAGTTACACCTGTGAATCGGTGCTAAATGTCGCTTTGCATTGTTCTAAAAAATAGAATATGTGCGAAAGTAAACAATGGATTTTTAATTACATTTGGTATTATTATCAAAATAACAATTGACAATTTGTTATCGTGCGTTCTTTTGATGTACATGTAGTACCAAATTATCTTTTGTAATTTCAATCTCGTTTTTACTGTTAACGAATTTTCACCAGCACCTGATTGCTTTTGTTTTAGTATACAAAATGTATACGCTGTACATGTTCAAATGCTAAATATTTATAAAATATACATGACATTTACAAGATTTTTTTAAAGTTTTCAAAATTAAAGACCACGGGAATGACCAAGTAGTACTTTCTAATACAATTATTGTTGAAGATTCGCCGTAAATTACGGCGATACATCGCGGCGATTTTTCGTGAACCGCCATGAAATTCGGCGAACTTGCATTCGGCGATGTTTTACCGCGTAGTGTCCCATCGCGGCATAGACTACACTCGCGGCATAACGCGACTTTTGCGGGTTTCGCGTGTCCAGTACTGTAATTCAAAAAGGATTTGACCTAGAGTCATTAAACCTTACAGGAAGTGGATTTATCCAGTATTTGTAGAGTTATTTCCCTTGACTTACAGTAGTATAAATTTGCAATTTTCAACTTGTTCATGCATAGCTCAAAAAGTATTTCACTTGTAGGCCTGAAAGTTTACAAGAATGTTGGTCATGTTGGTCAGCATGTGTACTTATGCAGCTTGGGGGTTTTGCTGTGGGATTTTTTCGATTTTGTAAAAATTCTTTTCCTTTATTAGTAAAAATTTTTTTTGTTTTTAAAAAAAATTTTACCTAGGTCATAGTTGAAGAACGTGGGGCCGTTGGGGGGGATCGTGTCCCATGGCACATCCTAGTTTTTTTGTAAAAAAGTGAATCATATAAAACAGGGATTTAGTGTTCAAAAAAGTTTTTAAAAAAGTTAATAAGAATCTGGGACTTTTGATATTTTTTGTTACAGGAAGTATTAAGCCTATTTAAAAAGGTTTTATACATTTTTTCCAGGAGGCGAGCTCCAAAAAACAAAAATATCAAAAAATAAAGGGTCATTTGTGATTATCAAACATAGATTAAATAGTACATCAGTTTAACTTCATTTGAGTAATTATTTATTGAAATGTTTTTGAACATCATATCATGCTAATTGTAAAAGGTGTTATGTTCTTCGAACAATATGAATAGGTCTTGTTCAACATTGCAGAATGTCAAAGGTAGTTCATCTACCAGTAGCTTATATTAATGTTTACTTATTTTTCTTGGTTAAAAGTTGTGAATTGTAATTTTTATTGCTCCAGGTAAAAGATGCTATCATCTATGCCCATTTAATCTTATTATCATTCAGAAAGGGGCAGATAACTGGACTGTATTTACAGTTAATAATCATACAGAATTATCTTTTAACAATATGATATTATTAAAATGACTGCACTGTTTTCAGGTTTATTGGTGTTTTTCTGTGTGTATGCGATCAAATTCGGAGGAGATTCCTTGATACAAATGGTAGATGGGATACAGGCAAAGTATGAAAATAATAAATATTCTTGATTTGATATCAAACATGAGAGTATAAAAAATGTTATTTTTACTTTTGTGCAATAAATGAGATGTGAAAAAACAACTCCTGGTAAAAAGTCATTGTGTTAGCCTATCAGTTTTGTAAGCTATAATATATTAAATTTTGTAAGTTTAAGAAAGTGTTTAAGGTGAATGACGGTTTTTCACTTCAAGAAAAGAACAATATTTTCTCTCCTGTTCAGTAATCTGTTAGCAAGATACAGATCTTGTTATTATTGAAGAGACAGTTGCCTTATATAACCATATAGTTGTGTTTTGATTTATTGTCGTATTAACTTTCAGAATGTTTGGTATGGTAATAGAAAAGTTATTTATTCAAGACCTTCAGAAGGTTTCCGGCACTTCTGAAAAGAAAATTTGTGCTGCAGGAGTAACAAAACTTCTGACAGAGGCCCCTAGTATGATCTCAGAATATGGACAATTATGGTGAGCTTTTCTTTAAAAATATTTTATATAGTTGGTAAAATATTTACCATCATAAACTGATTACAGCTGCAATGATATGTTCCGATCATTAAAAAATTTTCCTCAAAAAATATTCGCGCAATTATTTCCGATATTAAAAACCCTTTCTTTCCCCAATTTACCCCATAAAAAATATTCCCCAAAAAAAACACTAAAAAAATGATTTTAAATCCTCCTCTGTAACCATTTTTTATTAAAAAAGAAATACTATGGGTTAATTTAACTTAGTCATCCAATCAGTGAGCGCGTAATGTTGTATTTTCTCAAAGCAAATCATAATGGATTCAAACGTCAATGTAAAAAATATCAATCTATAAATCTTCCAACAAAACTTAAATAAAAGGTGTGGGAACAATTCGGGTTTGGCGAGGGTAAAGAATTAAACAAAGCAACATGTAAGATATGCTTTGCCGGCATGTTATGTCCAAAGTTTGTAAATACAACTAACTTCATGTAACCATGGCTTCAGTTACCAGCCGGGGTGCAACACACAAAAGGAAAGAAGTATACTTGATGTTGATGTGTTAAAAAGCCCAGTTTTAAGTTTGAGAAAAAGTCAGATTAATAAGATTACTAGTCACATTGTAATTGTTTGATTAGAATTGTTTTCTAAATAATCTGAAATAAACCACTTTAGTTTCATGAACACCTCTACTAATAGATAAGTTAGGGATAAAGTAAGTTGAGACAACTAAAAAATAAAAATAATAAATAAAATTGTCAAGGGCCACTGACTTTTACAGCAAATAAGCAGAATTGTCAACTAAAGACGAAATAGTAATCACATAGAATCGAATCGAAAAAAAATCTAATCGGGGTGTCTGAAATCAAATTGAATTGAACTTTTGGTGTATCGATGCAGCCCTACTTTGTATAAACTCCATTGAGCAAAACGGGGCAATAAGAGCCCTCTTATAAGGTAAGCAATTCAAGGGCATCATTGCCCCTTTTTCTGGAATCTATACAAATAAAGGGCAACAATTAATTTACCGAATTTCAGGCCGAGACTTCTACAGGCATTGATTGGATTGTTTGAACTACCAGAGGATGAAAGTGTTCCACCGGATGAACATTTTATAGAAATTGATGATACACCAGGTATTTCACAAACAGGATATACTTTAAATAGGAAATATACCTCATTTAGTTTTCTTTAGTCTTTTGATTGTAATAGTATCATAAAAAAAAGAGCCAAAGTGACACAGATTATAAACTATGTCTGATCATCTGGTCTCAATTTTTGGGTGTTCCTGATGCTAGAAAAGCACAATATGACTCAGAGCTGTCATAGAAACAATATTTATGTATTGTTGTTATTCTTTTGTCAGTTATCAATACATATTTTGAAAAAAAAAAACAACAAAAAACAATTATTTTTACTAATTTATAAAATATCTTGAAATGATGAAAATCCACCCAAAACACATAAACAAAGGCATGTCTTATTTATTTTGTTTATATACATATTTCATAGCTAACAGTGATGACTAGAGATGGTCAGAAAAAGAAATGCAGAGTGCATTTATAAATATTAGGCACTCTAATCTAATGCATAGAACATGTATTTTACAGAAATCATGGAAACACTTCTATAAATGAAATGTAGGGTAAAACAATACACAATCTCTTGATACATGGTTGGTACGCTTCAGAATCAGTGACAGCTCTAAATATGATCTTATTGATGTTATAAGTTGAGGTCCAGTCAATAAGGTCTCTAAACATATATTAAATTGCTTTCTTGAAGGTTATCAGACAGCTTATTCCCAGCTTGCCTTTGCCGGGAAGAAGGAACAGGACATGTTATCTGAATCAGTACCACAGTTAAAGATGTCTCTAGCTAAGAACCTGGAGAAACTGGGTGCTGCTAATCCAGGAAAGGTCAGTCAATATAGACTTTCTAATGAAATATTTTATATGTTTGGATCATATTTTTTCCAAGTCATTGCCAAAGAAATACAAAGATTAAACTTTTTTCATTTACATTTGCACATATAAATGAACAACATGATGTTTAGGTGCCCTCAGAGATTTAATATATTTGGTGAGCATATATTTGCTGCCTTGTCCGTCCGTCCGCTATTCTTTTCCAGGACATAACTTTGAAACAACAAAAGGTATCAACATGGAACTTTGAAGGTAGATAGATCTCATTGAGTAGAAGTGCAGTGCAAAAGAACTATAACTTTGCCTTGCTTAATTTTGGAGTTATTGCCCTTTGTTCATTTTTACACTTTGAACTTTTGTCTGTGACATAACTCGGACACTACAAGAGGTATACTTTCCTGTGTCCAAAACCTATTTTGGGAGCATCACCCGGTTCAACGGGTTCTTGTTTGATAACAATTTAGGAAAAGAATTTTAACTGTTAAAGATTTTAAAATTAATTTATTGCTTAAGTTACTAAAGATTGTTGCGCATTATTGTTTTCAGTTGATGCCATTGATAAGTTCCGGTTTACAGTCCGAGGCCCAGACATTTCTACAACAATACTTGTCTACAGCTGGCGTCACCCTTACATAATGACAGGAATCTCAACATTACCTCTATACGGAACAGTGCTGAATGATTTCCTCTACATATATTAGTTTACAATCCGAGATTTCTTGCTACATATTTAAGTTACTCTTAAAGATTAAACAATGAGAGATGACTTACTGTTACAAAATAATATAATTTCTTGTGACATACAATAAAAAATGATTTCCTGTTACATGTATTAAAATCCGAGATTTAATGTGTACAGGTATCTTTATGAGGGTTATCAGGCTTTCAGTGCTTTTGTACTCTTTGGCATTATAATATCATTTAAAGTTTCATGACTGTTTATTTCATATATGTTTATGATACGGAATGTTAGAACAGGGGTCTCTTGGAAACTTATGAAATCTGTGTAAATAGCCTTTTCATATTGTTGCACATTGGCTTTGTAAGCAAATTATTAGAAAAAAATAAATCTATCACATTGATTTATAATGTTCTATCACATTGATTTATAAAACTGAGATATCACATTGATTTATAAAATTAATCTATCACATTGATTTATAAAATTAATCTATCACATTGATTTATAATGTTCTATCACATTGATTTATAAAACTGACTTATCACATTGATTATGACATTGATCTATCACATTAATCTATCACATTGATTTATACAATTGTATATTGTTAGAAAGGTTATTAAGAATTTTGAAGGTCTTTATTAAAAATGGCTGGCCAGTTTACAAAAATAGTTCAGGAAGATCTTTGACAGACACATAAAATACGTTTGTATCAGAGTTACTTCACATAATTTTGCCTCAAAAACCAGATTTATTTTAATATTACATGATATAATAGACTTGCCATCAACTATAGTTTTTTTAAAAGTTACACTGTCTTTGTTTTTGAATGTGTTAGAAAGGGAAACAGCATTACATAGCCAAGATATTAATTGTTGTCATTTAATCTAAAATTAAAAACAAATGTGTATTCTAGAAGTATATTCTGTTGTCCTATAAGTCTGTCATTATTACCTATGTTGGTACTTCATAACATTTTTGTTTGAAGTAGAAAAAGAAATGCTGTTTGCTTTTGCTTGTTCATCGAAAATGTTGTGTTGGTGTCGTGTTAAAAATAGCTCAATAAATGGTGATGAAAAAAACTTTGTAAAATTATGAGGAAACATTTACATGATACAAAAGTTAGAATGCTGTACAAAACTTGAATGTTCAAATTGTATAATGCATGCATACATATAGTTCTGATAAATATTGGTAATGTTAAACACTTGATTGTATGGTGAAACAACTAATATATACACGGATATTGTTGAAGGAAAATCTTTATGTTATAAAGTTCTTACATATTGTATAAAATGCTATGAAAAAATAAATATATAAATGATATAATCATTTAATGTAGAAGTGTGCTGTTCTAGTAATTTCCTTAAAGAACAAACTTTATGCTAAAAAGTGCTAGTAGAATGTTTTGAGTTTATTAATAAGAATATTATCATTTATACTACAAGTGTTGATGTAAAAAAACGTAGAAAATCAGTTTTGCATAGTAATAGTACTGACTTATTCTATCAAAAATATTGAAGAAATGCAGCTTTGTAATTTCCATGTGAAGTTGTTGAATAAAACGTTACATTGTATGAAGATTGTTCTCACTTTCTTATTTATATCACCTGATATACTGGTATATATAATATATAGTACATTAATGACAGGAAGTAAAAACCTTAGCCAGAATAAAAACAAGGCGAGTGGGAGTTTTAGTTTTATTGCTCCATGTAGTATTAAGTATTGATGGTGTAAAACTAAATTATTTCATGGGAAGGTATGTATATTACTTGTTTGGTTCTGTTCTCACAAAATGGTGATGTTAGTGTAAAATTCAATGACCGAGAGTGTACAAAGTTTTGTAAAATACAAAATCCTCCAATAGTAAGGCATCTGTAAACTCTGGAATCCAGAGAATTACTTAATATATGATTTTAGTGTTTTGTTGCTTTTAATTTCTGTAAATATGTAGGACTTGTAAGAATAACACAATGTGTAAAAAATAATCAAAAAAGAATTGAACGGTTCCGTTCCACTAGCAATTAAAGTTGATGTTGCATACTCTCATAAGCTTATACCATGACGTACTTTGAATCGTACTTTACCACGATAGTAAATATCTGACTGATGCTGACACGTCCCCAACTACATTTATGTTGACTAATACTCGTAAATTTGAACCCATTTGTAAAATTGTAGTCTGTCAGGAACTGCAAAATACACTATACATGTTATCTCGACTGCTTTTAATTGGTTGTCAGAATGTAAACGATTTATTGTTGCCACAGGAATTCTGAGAAGGGACCCGTGACCTACTGGGTCGTATACTAGCTAGTTTGTAATCTCGACGAAAGGCGCTTTTATTTAGCAGAATAAGACAGAAAACACGTGCACAAGACCAAACTCGCATTTCTGTAGCCTACAGTTCCTTGCATGAGCGAGCTTGCAAAGCAACCATGTGGCTGCTGGGATATGTCCCAAGTTTCCACATCACCGACTATCATAATATGACAACATAGAATTTGCAAGATTGTGTACTTAATTTTTTATTATATTATAATAATTTATGTAGAACACAATCTTGCAAATTTTATATTGTTAGACCTAGGTTTCGGGATATTCTTGCAACAAATTTTGTTCTGTAATCGGCCTATGTTATCTAACTTTTAATTGTTAAATTATATAATTAGCCGACTTATTTAACGAATTCGTTCAGTTGAACAAACAGCACTGACATAGTTATGTGTCAATATTCATATCTAGAAAAATCGGTCACAGTTGATAACTTAATGTGATCTTAAGAGGAACTTATTATTTTAAAATATTTACTCAAAAGAACTCGCGACATAATGCAGTGTAATCGGTCACCGGCTGGGCTTATTGCAAATTGATTTGTTACAGTTACACGTTCAGCTGCAAATGTTTGACTTATATAATAGAAACCTAAATCTGCATACAACTAGTTATAAAACATATTTCAATACTTCCGCCTTCGTTTGAATTATGTATTTACCGAATTCAATATGAATATATTTGCCTGTTAGAGTTAACACTGTAGCATTCTCTAAAGTAACAAAAAAGAGTCAATTTAAAAATAGAAAAAGGCCTTCTTAAGGGATAATCAATTTGCTTAAGATCTTAAGTTTTAATCTTGCTATTTTTTGCGGAAACTATTTATATGATGGTTTACACAAGACCCATTAAGTGTATACGTACATCTTATCTACACATAACCTGTATTGATTACAAAAATATCTTAAAATAATCTATGACAAAATGTAGCAAATGTGTTAATAAGTGTAAAACAAACCCCATAATTATAATATTAAATTAGTAATATATTTAACGCAAATAAATGTCAGTTTAAAAAGCTCACATAAACAAGAGATCTCGCGCCGATCTATATTCAAACACAGTTACTAACCCGTATATTCACGTTTAGTTATAACTTCTGGCTGCTTTATAATACACAAAGAAGCCAGTGTATTTTACAGTTGATTAAATTCTTATAACTGTTTTATCTGCAAGATTTAAGGTAAATTTTTATCACAATTGAAAAAATACGCTTTCTTTTAACATGTTTACGATTTTGATTTGTTTCAATGATGGAGTTTTGATGATTTATTTCAATAATTAATACGTTATTCATATGACAGTAAGGTACGATTCAAGATTCAAGATGGCGGATACGTCAATATGGATGACATACGTAAAGAGTGGATATTTGTACATATTTTCTTCCTTAACTAGCGTTGTTTGTGGATTTTATTCTTAGTTATTTATACCATTTTCAAGCGAAAGGAATAAGCTTTTGTTCTGTGTAAGTGTTATTGTCGGTTATATACGAGTTAAAAATTTCTTATTGTTTTAGTGATGCTACTATATACTTCATTTGTAAATAGGGTTCGCCTTTATAAAGTCAAGAGCAGTGCCCTTCCAATGTTAATGTAACACGTTTTAACTTATTTCTAAATGTACGCCGACTTAGTTGAAACGAAATGCTAGTTGATTGTTAGGAGTTAGTGTTTAATTGATTAAATTGAAATATTTTCCTTTTTTGTTTCAATCTAGCATAAATTAGCTATCGGCTATTTTTAGATGGTAAATTTGTACTGTAGTATATATTAAGCGCGGCAAGTAATCGGGTTTGCTCTTAATTTGAGCAAATCTAGGTTAGTAATGAAAGGTCATATTGGATCAAGACTGGATGAAACAGGTAAATTATAACGGTTTTTGTAAATGTAATATTATATTTAATATTGAACAATATTGTAAATCTTACATAACTTCTGAAGTAGGACTTTCTATTTCATATATGTTGTTTAACCCAACTCTATGTCACTATAAATAGTACTTCAATCTATAAACACATGGTAGATTTTTTCAACTCTTTGTTGTATAGTAATTCTAATTTTAGTATGAGTAAAATATAATTGACATGTATATGTTCATATGGTTTTATATGAAACTATATTGTGTAAAACAAATTTCCTCTGATATATAATATATACTGTAATATTGATTTTGAGAATAAGATGCATGTAGTATCTTGAAAACTTGCATTAGACTAATTTGGTAGCAAAACCATCATGTTGGGTCTTTGTTGTGAATGATTTGTCAAACTAAAAATAATAAAAACTAGATTACATTTTAAACATTGTTTGTTCACCTGCATGTAATGTAAGTTAAAAAGAAAGTAATTGTTACATATGGTGAAATAGAATCTTTAAGCTAAAATGATTTTTTGTTGTTTTACCGAAAGTACTTTAAGGCGAAGTATCTTAATTGTTTTCTTTCTTTTTATCAAATATTTAATTTTCATTCCTGACCTAAAATTTTTTAATTTGTAAGATATATTGATCAGCTGCATATATTAATTATCAATTAGTGATGATGATAATTATATTTTTATTAATTATTTATTTTCTATTTTGTACTGTTACAGTGTATATATAATGTATTTGAAATTATGTTTATTTTTATTAATAAAAGTTTTTAAGAACAGTTTGGTAGCTGTTGTGAACAGAACAGAACAGAACATACATCTTATTCTCTCAGGTACATAAGTACAGTATAGAAGAAAATAAAATTATTTAAAAAAGAGATTAAAGTTTGACAAAGGTGTGTAAGAAATACATATCGGGAGAGACCGTAATAATATGGTAATGTGAATTTGAAACTATTACATATTAATCCATATAGGTTCAGTAGTTACTGTATGAAATATAATACACAGTTTTTTGGGAGTTTTTGTTGTTGTTGATTTTTTATGCTTGAGTGCAGCTGAAGGTGCACTTGTATTCAGACTACATTAAAACACATCTAGTATAAGATAATGTCTTTATCTTTAAAAAGAATGGCTGTTTTTAGTTTAAGGCCATTTGAAAGGAAGCCCTACTTTTGCTCTTAATATGTAGGGAAATTGCTACTCAATATGTGTAGCTTAATTAAGCTATCATGGTCACAGGTAAATAACTCCCTCAGTGACAAAATATTAATTTTATGGATACTAATGGAATCCCTGTTGCAGAATAAATTGTTTTCCTAATTTTAAATCTGGGAACCCTATTTCTAAATAAAGTTATATCTCCTCTATCCCTATTTATTACTAATAAGTTCTTCTTCCACTAACAAGAAGATACATGACCCTACCATGAATGAACTTGATTTTAATTTTTTTTAAGTAAATATTTCTTCTTTCTTCAGTGGTTACTTTTTTCTACTACTTAATTTCATCTGACATGTAAGCATCTGGGTAAAATCTTTATATATTTAGATACATTGATAAAATTAATGAAGCTGTTTTTATCCATTAAAGTGCAGACTTCTATGGCAAAATTCTAATACCTCAGTCCTTTAATACAAATTAAAAAAAAAATGTCAAAGAGTTGAAGTATTTTTACTGTTTGTAGACTGTTTCTAAATAACTTTTATAATATAATGTATTTTACTATATTTTGTCAGCACAGGTGTGCAGTGAACTTTATATTTGAAGCATATATATTGTAAGAGATATCACTTATTTGACATTGACAGAATATATTCTTCTTCCGTAACATTGTTCAAGGACACCAGACAATTCACAGTATTACAGTGTATGTAAAACAGTGGATTGAAAAGACATTTCTTGTGTCTTATCATTATAATGATAAGTTCTAAGAAGGCCTCTAATGTGATAATATATAGTGATAGTTGTGTTACATTGATTCAATGATTTATATTGGCAGGTGGACACACATTGTATTAAAGTTGGTAATATAGTCGTATAAAGATGTTAACACAGTCAAATTGTAAATGAATCATTGATCGACTGTATAGTGTAGGAAAGTTCTGAGGTTTACTGCAAAATCAGTTATGACTATTGATCTGTTACTGCCATTCCTCTATATGGTAACTTTACGTTAGTTCAGAGACAGAGTACATCACTGTTTCCTGTATATTTTCATTCTGTTTATCCTCCTTCTGTCTATCTGTCTGTCCAGTTGTCCATTAGTGATATATTTTAAATTTTTATTTTTTCACTGTAAAATGCCTGTTTTTTTTTTCAAACACAACAACAACAACAAAAACTACAACAACAACACTTTATAGGTTTGTTATAATTATTCTTAATGCTGATATACATCACATTTTGTATATATTACTGTGGACTCACTTAATTTCGTGGGCATTTAATTTTGATAGTTTTTTATGTTTGTGGGTTCATAAATTCATGGATTCTCTGTTGTTGATTTTTTCTTTTTTGCAAAAAAGTAAAATGAAAATAATAAAACAATAAAAATAATCTTAAAGTAGCCAATTTATAAATTGTGTTTTTATGTTAAATTTGTGGATTGATCTATCTATAAAAATAACAAATATTTCTGCCGATTCAATAATAAGGATTTTGCAGATATTGTAATTTCTACTTTATTTGTTTTTATCTAATTTAATTAATGAAGAGTATCATTAATGAACTTTAAAAGCTATCTCATTCAACAGAGAAGTTAGTAAACATATTAAACTTGAATGTAATGTAATGGAATATGTTTCACTAATTTTATGATATTTTTGAGGACGTATAGTGAAGGTTTAGTTTTATATAATAATGTAATAAATATATGTTAGATTTGACAATAACATATCACCTGTATAGTCAGACTTGGCAATTATCTTTATAAAATGCATATTAGATGGAAAACAAGTTGCTCAAGGTGTGGAAGTTTTTACAAGTACTTTAAATACATAAAAGAAAATGAAAAACATTGATAGCCCAACAGTGCTAACAAAAATTTTAGGCAACACACCAATAATATGATAGCTCTAGTTATTGAGTTATAGCCCCTGAAAGGAAAAAAAACAGACATTATTTGCTTTTACTGTATCGTAAGGTTTTATTTTTGAATTGTACTATAACCATAATTATACTTATATACAGAACACATTGACCTACAATAGATCTTGACTGGCCAGCTACTGTCCTGGGTTCTAGACTAATTGACTTATTTTTATGTAGACTTGCATAATATACATGTATATATTAATTTTATTATATTAAAGAAGTAACTCGGTCCAATGGAACTCGACCAAGTTTGTCCAAATCATGGCTCAATGGTCAAAATTGGAACCACCAATGGGATCATTTATTAAATCATATACTTGTATTGTAATTTTGAAAAAAAGTGTTCCTGTAAAAGTGTTGAAGCTTTATATATCAACAGTTCAGGTATGTTTCCTTTATTTCAGGAATGTTTGTCTGTTAAAAGACTCTTTCCATTCTTCAGTGATGCCTCCTGTTAACAAACTATTTTCTTTATTTCAGGGATACTTTCTGGCCACAAACTGTAAATGAGATGGGCTTTTTTGAACCTACATGTATTTGTATGAAATAGCATAACTATGGCAACAGAAGAAATTCCAGCAAAGATAAAACCACCAAAAATTATTGAGCTCAGAGAGTCGCTAGTGGATAAAAAAAGAATCGGTATGATAGTATATATGAAAAGAAAAAAATGTTTGAAAATATTAAACAAATGCTAGGTAAATTACTACTGTGCTCAAAGTAGTTCATCATACTTTCATAAAATACCTTTCTACATGAGTATTAGCTATGATTATCCTGAAAAAGCTATTGTGAAACATGATTTAAAATCTGAGATACAGAACACATGTTGTTGGCATATCTTATATTTATTTAGGAATACAACCAATTTTTGGAAGTGACAATTTCCATTTGACAATTTATGTTGAATATTTACTCGAGTAGTTGAAGGATTTTTGTTGTTATGGAAAAAATACACAACCTTTTTACATCAATTTTTAGCTTTACTTTCTTAAAGAAAAGATTCAAGCTTTTGCAAGTTTTGCCACAGTCATTTGCTGATTCTATCCAAAAACTTACCATTGGTCATAATTTTGTCACAACAAGCCTTTGAGTTAATCAAGCTAAACTTGACCTTGACTTATAAATGATATTAAATGGGTGGTCTTCAGATATGGACACAACAACACTTGGGACAACACCAAAATGAATGTGACTTTAAATGACCTTTACCTTGAAGGTCAAATAATTAAATTTTGCTTGAATTTTTCTACAAATGAATAAATCATTGTTACTTTTTGATATTTGTTTTTATGCATGTTAATAACTATGCATATAAGGTTAATATTGAACTTGACTGGCCTTTATTTGACATTGCCATAACTTTCTTATTAATGGGTGGTTTTGAATCATACTTTGACAAAACAACGCTTATGAGGAAACCATGATGTTCAATAATTCAAGTAAGATTGTGATTTATAAATGGTCTTGACTTTCAAGGTCAAATATGGAATTTATTTTAAATGCTGTCAAAAAAAAATTATGTTGTCTTTGTTCCATTGTACTGTTGTTCCTGCCATATATTTACCTTTTAAAATAGGAAAAAATGAGTTTGGCAACTCGATTACTGTGTTATTGTTAATCTTTTTGTTCTGCCAACATAGATTTTTGGTAGACTCAACTGCTATAAGTTTATCACTTTGTACTTTACTTTACAGAAGTGTTATTGTCATTTTGTTCATTTGTTACAGGGTCATTCAGTCTAGTGCCTATTAAAAAGAACACAGAGTTCGGACCTTATGAAGGAAGAATTGTTTATGACAAGAATGATGAGTCACTGGACCCCAAGTTTTCCTGGGAGGTCAGTAATAATTGTATAATCATGCAAACATGATTTTTTTTAATGAATTGATGAATTTACTTTTTTTTAAAAAATTAGTTCATTAAGTTTTATATAAAACAAGTGATTGTTGTACCCTTGAGAAAAAAGGCTGTTTCATGAGTCAATATATGGCCTGTTTTGTAGAAAGAAAACAAATATTTTCTATGCCCTTGAACTTAGAAATGGGGGGATGCAGGTATATATTTGTCATGTAACAGCTCTGTTTAAATGTGTCTCATTGCCAACAATGTAAGTCATGTCATCTCGATTTTCTCATGAATAGAACTTACATACCAAAATATAATATACTACTGTTAAAAACTTCATTTTGATATATGAAATACATGTATGATCTATGTCAAATTTTTTATTGGGAAGGTTACTTAGGTCATTGTGCTTTTATTGACAAATTGTGTAAAAGATTATTTGTGACTGGCAAATTTAGTCTATGTATACTGTTGCCAGTATTGTCAAAGAACTACCCAAGCAAAAGGTGTTTTTTAAAGTTATCTTGTTTAGATCGAAGTTACAAAGTGATTATTATATGCCATGAATCAATGTCTCATATATATTGACCTATGCCTATTTTGTTGTACAGTTTATCTTTCATCTAAAAAAAAACAACAAATTGTACTACAGATAAAGGTTAATATGGAATATATTTATACTGCTAAGACATTAATTAGTCAGTGTTATTTTTCTATAAATTAATGTTAATGTTTAAATACAGAGCTATAAGCACAGAGTGCAAATAAACAGCAACAAAATAGAGTTGGGTAGCATCAGACCTTTCCTCTTATTGTCCAAACATTATACAATACACAATATATAGCAATGTAAACTAAAAGCTGTGCATATAAATAAATATGATAGTGATTAGATCAACATGAAGTAGTGGAGAAAGTTTATCAAAAGAAGAGGGGCTTAAAAAGGGTCTAGCGCTTCCATCAGAGCCCAGAATCATCCTCCAGGTATTATACATGTATATTCAACATATAATTTGATACAGGACCTTGAATATACATTACAATATGTTCATAATTATATTTATTTTTACAGGTGTTTGATTTGAAGACATTTAAGTACCTACATACTGTTGATGCGACCAATCCTGAGCATGGTAACTGGATGAGATATGTTTGTTGTGCAAGATACTTTGAGGAACAGAATATTGTGTCCACTCAGAATGGTTGTGAGGTGTACTACAGAGCACTGAAGGTAAATAACACTTATTTTGCTGAAATTTTCGTAATAGGTTTACCCAACTTTAAACTTGAAGCAGTCCATTAAAATTTAACAGGAATTTTATATCGAAATATGAAAATAAGCTACTAACAGATTGCATTGATAGTAAAGGTTTTGTTTCATGTAAACTTTAATCCTACTGAAGTTTTATAATTTTTGTCTTGCCTGGAATTTGGAACTGCCCAGTTTGAGCAGGCTGCTATGACTGCTGCTAATTCTTGTAGAGTTATGTTATGGTATTTGTTTATAATCACTGCAGTGGTAAGCTTTTCTGAATTGTTAATGTAATTTTATGCTATATTATCAATTTCTTTAAAAAAAATCAATTGAGGTCACTGTCCAAGGTCAATAACTCTGACATGGATTTTGACAGAATTTTTGCCCTTTTTGAATTAAGAAAATTCTGTATTATCCAGGCTCTTGTTTTATTAACAATCGCTAAGAATAGTTGAGCATACAGAATTTATTGAACAAGTTGAATAAAATTATTTTATGCAAGCATAATATTAATTCAATAAGTTTAGTAATGAAGCTACATGAATATAATATGCTCTTTATCATATATACAAAATAAGAGCTGTTAACGGGTAAAAAAAAATAACTTTTTCATTGACGCACTTATAGTGTAATGCTAACATTTAGTGAGTCTTTACTATGTTAGTATTATGCAAATGATGCCATGTCAAAATATATGCATGGCCGTGCAATATAGTTTTGGTAGTTGAAAAAGTGGCATGTGTATGTGATAAATTCTAATACTATGGCATGTTCAGAAATATTTTTTCACAAATATTTCAGCCAGAAGGAAGTCCAGCATGATTTGTGTGTTGTATTAATAATCACTCACAGATTGTACAAGTAAATAAGAAAAATTTGTATAACATGCCTGGTATGTTCATCAAACAGATTGAAACCTATGTGATTTTATAACTAGGAAATGGCCTTCATAATGCAATTCATTGAAATGTAAATGACCTTCTATGTCACTTTTACAAGTTTCAAATGTTTGTATGTGTCAATTGTAAATAAGTTGTATAGGACTTCAGTTTCTGGCCCTGGTGTAAATGAGTACCATTAAATTTCTTTGGAAATATTTTACTTTAATTGAAAATCAATTATTGTAGGATATAGAGGCAGGAGAGGAACTTTTGACCTGGTTTCAGCCAAAAAAGAAAAAGCGAAAGAAGAGCTTGGTTCGTAACTTGTCAGGTAAGACAATATTATAGATACTTAGTATGATGCAAAACTGTAGAATTTTGCTTACCCTGTCTGAATTTTTAGCTTACCTGTCACAAAGTGACACGGTGAGCTTTTGTGATCGCTTTTCGTCCGGCGTCCGTCCGTCCGGCGTCCGTCCATCCGGCGTCCGTCCGTAAACTTTTGCTTTTAATGACATCTCCTAATAAACCACTAAGCCAATTTTATCCAAACTTCACAGGAATGTTCCTTTGGTGGTCACCTTTAAAAATTGTTCAAAGAATTTAATTCCATGCAGAACTCTGGTTGCCATGGCAACCGAAAGAAAAATCTTTAAATATCTTCTTTTAAACAACCCAAAGAGCTAGAGCTTAGATATTTGGCATGAAACATCTTCTAGTGAGTGTCTACCAAGTTTGTTCAAATAAAAGCCCTGGGGTCAAAATTGGCCCCGCCCCAGGGGGTCATTGATTTTCCCTATATGCATATAGTAAAAACTTAAAAAATCTTCTTTTAAAGAACCCAAACAGCTAAAGCTAAGATATTTGGCATGAAACATCTTCTAGTGAGTGTCTACCAAGTTTGTTCAAATAAAAGCCCTGGGGTCAAAATTGGCCCCGCCCCAGGGGGTCATTGATTTTCCTTATATGCATATAGTAAAAACTTAAAAAATCTTCTTTTAAAGAACCCAAACAGCTAGAGCTAAGATATTTGGCATGAAACATATTCTAGTGAGTGTCTACCAAGTTTGTTCAAATAAAAGCCCTGGGGTCAAAATTGGTCCTGCCCCAGGGGGTCATTGATTTTCCTTATATGCATATAGTAAAAACTTAAAAAATCTTCTTTTAAAGAACTCAAAGAGCTAGAGCTAAGATATTTAGCATGAAACATGTTCTAATGGGTGTCTACCAAGTTTGTTCAAATAAAAGACCTGGGGTCAAATTTGGCCCCGCCGCGGGGGTCATTGATTTTCCTTATATGTGTATGGCAAAAACTTAAAAAATCTTCTTTGGAAAAACCCATATAGCTAGAGTTTAGATATTAAGCATAAAACATTTTCTAATCAGTGTCTACAAAGTTTGTTCAAATAAAAGCCTGGGGTCAAAATTGGCCCCGCCCCTGGGGGGTCATTGATTTTCCTTATATGTGTATAGCAAAAACTTAAAAATCTTCTTTGAAAAAACCCAAATAGCTAGAGTTTAGATATTAAGCATGAAACATCTTTTAGTAAATATCTACAAAGTTTGTTCAAATAAAAGCCCGGGGGTCAAAACTGGCCCTGCCCCAGGGGTGTCCTTGTTTTTAACTATATGTGTATAGTAAAAACTTAAAAAATCTTCTTTTAAAAAACCCAATGAGCTAGAACTTAGATGTTTAGCATGAATAGATTACTGCATGTTTTAGAAATATGCAGACTAGAATCTTCTAAATAAAAATTATGCTACCTGGTCCCTGTGGAAAAAAAAACTTTAAAGGTAAATAGATAATAAAAAAAAACGATTCTAATTAAGCTATTGTTTCTAGCAAAATAGGTAAATAAATGTTAAAGATAAAATATGTGTTAAAGTTGGACTTTTTTTGTCAGCTGGCATATGTAAAGTTCATTTACGGATTTAAATACCTTGCAGATCCTGCTGAACCAGATGTAGGAAGTTCCAGTTTACAGGAAACATCAGATCTTTCTAAAAACCCTCTTCAAAGTCCAGATAAACAGAAAAGGAAGAGAAAGCCAAAGGTTATTCCAGATGCTTATGATGGTCCACTTGATTGGTCAGAAAATGAACCTCCGCCAAAAAAGATTAAAGAGGATGTGTTTGAACCTCTTCAACCAGGCCAGAAAAGACGACGTAGAAAAAAGTTATCAACAGACAATGTAGACTCGGAGGTTTCCTCGAGGGCAACTAGTCCTACTTCAGATAAACAGAGCAACAATCCAGATGAGGAAACTGTAAAACCTGATCTTATTAAGATTGAGGAAGATAAAGTGGTTGCTAAACAGAAAGGAGAGCAGAAAGGAGAGGCTAAGAGAACCCCTCAAAAGAATAAAAAGTCGTTTTTGGATGTAAGCAATGTAAGGAGAAATTTATATTCAAGTACAATTGAAATGAAAAAAGAAAATGGCCCGCCTATGTCAATTGCTGAAATAAATAATTCTGTGGAATGGGAATTTCCAAAAAGTGGAGAAGAATACAATTTTGTTTTGAAGAAGCGCCATATTGTAAGTGATGTTGGTAAAAAACTTTACAAATGTGATATATGCCTTGGATTGTATAAACATATGTTTAGTTTGAAAAGACACTACCTTAGAAATCATATAAACTATAAATACCTGAGTAAGTCAGACATGACAAACTGTTTGATCAACTTGGCGCAGGTTAAACATTTAATGCGAAATAAATTCCCAGACACAAAAGAGAAACCTGATATACAGGAAAGTAACCAACTGGATGAAAGCAATACAAGTGATAAACAGAATGCAGATGATGATTGTGACGGTATTGTCAAAAATGAAATTGAAGAAAATACAAATGATTCTGATGAAAATGTTGAAAAAATCAATTTAAATGACGAATCTAGTCCGAAACGTGTTCATGACAAAAGTGTACCTGATACAAGTGTCGATCTCAAGGAAGATATGAATGAGGTAAAAAATGATTCACACGAAGAAATAAAGGGAGAAACAATGGAGAGTCTTGATGAATCTAGTCCAAATAATGTGTGCAATATTGACCAACAAAATAAAATAGATGACAAAGAAAATGAAAACTTTTGCAAGAAATTAGAAATTGATGAAAGCAATAATGATGGTACAGAAGATAAAAATGATGATATAGAAGATAAAAATAATGATACAGAAGAAAATGATGAAAATAATACCAATGCAGCTATAGAAGCTGAGAGGAAAGTTGTACCAATGCCTGGACTATTCCGTTGTTATACTTGCTATTTGACATTTGATGACTTCATCACGATAAGGGAGCATACCCAGAATCATCCGGAGCAGATAGACGGAGCATGTTACCCTTGTGATATGTGCAGCATGAGGTTTAACTATAAACATAATCTTGTCAGACATCGGAAAACACACAATACAGAAGGTAATAGATGGAATACCAGTAATTAAATTTCTAATTTTATTCTTTGTCATGATTCTCACACAGTCTGTTTAGAACATTCCAGGATGAAGTGTTTATGTTCTTTTATTTAGGAAACAGATTCCACAACTTAAGTAAACAATTTTATAACTGAAAAGTATATATCACTGTAAGGCCTGTTGGTCCATTTCAATTTTCTCCCTGTACATGTCAAATTGCTGTGAACACTTGGTTTCAACAAAAGGAACCTTTTTTTATGTGTTTTTTTCCGACCAAACATTATTGTTTGTACTTTACTAGCTTTTGGGATCTTAAAAACTACAATAGCTGTATCTTAATGTACATGTCTGAATAGTCTAATTAGCATGAAAATGCTTCTTAAAGTACGGTAGATTAATTTGGAGGGAAAATTGAAACTCATAGGTAGACTTAAAAAAATTTTGTTTTTAGAAATAGGAAAGTTGTCATATTAAAAAATTATTTGTTAGATTGTAAACGTATTTGTTGTGCTGTGTATTATACAGGTATAAAAGCAGTTGATAGAGACACACTATCCAAGAAATCTGAGAATCAATCACCCCATAAACATCTTCTACCATCTAAAAATAGTTCTTCACCAGAGAAAAAGCCATTACTTCTGCCTACTGTGTTCCGCTGTGGAGTTTGCCCGCAGAAGTTTGACAGTCAGGCCAATGTTGTTAAACATGTTAAGGAAGAACACAAAACTGGTAGGTGGTTGTTTCTATAGCTATTTGTCCCATTTTCTACAATTTTTGGATATGCTCTATTGTATTTTTTAATACTGTTTGAAATTGGAATGGTATAGTGCAAGTTTAGGGGCTTTTAATATGAAAATTTTATAATCATGCTCTAAGACTAAACAATAAAGAGAATTTTTAGACAGTAATATTTAAGAATTGTTTATACATGTATATTGTAAAATGAAAAGGAAAATATTTCTGAAATCTGGAAGAGTTCAGCATGTAATACTCCATAATGTAAAGTAATAGGACTTAAAAAAAATTTTTATTTTACCATTAAGAGGTTAATTAGACTTGATCAATTTTGATATGAACAGAAACATAGGAAGAGAACTGACCTTGACAGTCAAATTGTTTAATTTTGCTCGAAAAATATGCATGATAGGGCACCTGCTGTCTGTTCAACCAGTCTTCATTTTACCTTATAATGAATTAGCATGTACCTTACCATTTCAAATATGCACAGCACAATATGTTAAATTTCCATTAGCATTATTGTGATAGATTTATTTGTTGATAGTTTTGACAGTAATATACACAATGTAGTGTATAAAATATTGAACTTGATAACAAATTTACAATTTTGAAGTTGAATTAATTGATCATATTAATTCCTAATTGAAAATCAATAATTAATTCCATTATGATATTGCTTTACTTCAAAAGATGATACCTGGATATGTTTACACTTTCAACAATGTAGAATTTCTTTAAGTATGTTTCATTACTTTATTATAATATTTCATTTTTTTATAACCAAAAAAAACCAAAAAAACAATGTAATATTCACATGTTAATATTGCAACAAATGCAACTTTTTACTTTCAAGTGAAATCATGTACTCTTTAATTTAGTTTAAGACTTAAAGTTAATACTTAAAATTTCCCTGCTAAAGTGCTGAACAAAATATTCTCAGAAAAAATACATTGTTGTTTTTTTTTAAGGTAAATTTTAGCCAGTAAAATTGCATTTAAATTAATTAGTATTGCTTTTAACTTTAAAAATGTTTACAGATAATGTCCATATTTTCTCTAAGTAAAAAAAATATAAATTAATATAAACACCTACATAATTCTATATTAGATTTATTAATATCATATTTCTTTAAGATTAATCTTATATTTACAAGTGCATGGTAGATAATTTTATAAAAAAAATTGTTTCAACTCATCATTTTCTTTTGCCTTAAAACTAAAACAGTAGATAAAAATGTGATAAATATTTGTTAATGGTGCAACTTATTAATGACACACTTTGTACTTCTTAATTATTTTAGAATAAGTGTGAAGAATTGTATGTAACATATTATCAGGGCAATTTCTCACCTTTTTATTTTATCAAGTAAGATAATCTATGGTCCTGTGAATGCCTTACATTATGGTATAGGTAATTTTAACAAGAACATATAGGTAACAAAATAAAACAATGATGTACATGTCTTATCATGTGAATGTATCAGAGTTAATTAGACTAAGTGTGTCTGAAATTACCTGGCAGTGAAAATTGTGTGATATCCTTTGATAAAGATCAGCTTGCTACCAGTATATTTTAGTGGGTATATATAGTTACATTTTGAGATGATATGCATCATACAGATCATGTGTTGAACTATATCAACATATAGAATATTTATTTAAGCAAAATTTAATGGTTTAGAGGTTAAGAAAGAGAGCATTTGTTTTACTTTAATTGGATAATTTATGTTAAGGATTCAGCTAAAATGGTAAGTCAGTTATTTGAATATCATATGAATTCATAACAAGATGTTTTAATAATATGTTTGTATATACTATGGCTTAGTGACTTAGTGACATTTACAGGGTAAATATGATCATAATATCTATAATATATTATGATTTATGAACTGTTTATTTTCAGGAAGCAAGTTTCAATGTTCATATTGTGGGAAGGAATTCCTGTCTATGCCTAATATGAAAAAACATGTCCGCTTCCATCTTGGATATCGTGCAACTTGTCGTATATGTTCCGAGGCTTTTTCTAACGTCGGTGCTCTACGTAAACACACACGTGTCTCACATCCCGACATTTATAAAGCTAAACTTATTGAAAGGCTTGAGAAGTATGGTGTACTAAAAGGACCAGATAAAAATGCTTTGAGTAAAGAAATTGTTGATAAAGTAAATTTAAATAGGAAAAAATCTCAAGAGTCTCAAGAAGTAGAGTCAGTTGAAATTGATAAAAAAGAAGTGAAACTGGAAACAAAAAATTGTAAAAAGGAGGAAAGCCAGGAGGAGGTAGATAATGAAATAAACTTTACAGCAGATGAAATAGATGATGGTGGGTCTCGCTTTAAATTTGCATGCACTGTGTGTAAGAAAAGATTTAGTAGTTATATTAATATGTGTAGACATAGACGCAAGATACACAGTAATGAAAATCGGCATAGAACTGAACAGTGTTTAACTTTTGGCCGTAAACCAAGAAATAACCCCTCGCCAATTTTAGAAAATCCAGTAGAGGTGGCAGCTTTTTATGCCAACATATCACACAATATTGCTACAAATTTGAACTGCTACATTGATGGTAAAGTAGAATCTCTGCAAACTTTTGCAGACCATGTAAAAATAGAAAACTATGATGGAAACTTTGGTTACAATGTGGGAAATGAACAACCAAATGATTTAAGTTGGGAAAATTACAATTTTCCGCAAGATTTCAAACCTGTGCAGACAGTTTCATTTGCTGATATAAAAAATGTACTAAATATTCATAATGATTTTGATTCACATTGTATGTCTGTAGATGATAGAGGATCTGATTGTGAAAATAACTTGAAGAGAAGTGAACAGAAAGAAAAACAGGGCGAGGATAACAGCGTAAGCAAACACAAAAGTTATTCAATAGGTGATAAAAATATTGTAAAGCATAAACATTTGACTGAAACAAGAAATGATCAAGGAAACTGTGATTCTAATTATCAAGGCATAGAAGAAAGTGTTGAAGATTCTGAAGTTCGGGAAATTAACAGTGACAAGTGTGAGAAAGAAAAGCGATTTGATAAAACTTGTGATACATCTGAGGAAGGTGATACCATGGGTAAATCATCACATGGTCTAAAGGCTCTGGCCAATTTAGGCTCAGTGTGGTTAAAACGTGGGGCAGGAGATGGGAAGAGTGATATGAAGAATGCTGAACTTGGTGCAGTTGGTATACTTCCTATAGGGACTTCCATTTATACAGACTCACCTGCTGCTAAAACTTTTCATCAGGTAATTTCAACTTTAATGTTATTCTAGCTAGTTTTATTATTATTTTAATGTAGTTTTCCGTTTTGACAAAAAAATCACTCTTAATTTACCATGTTCTGAAAGTAAAAGCTGTTTCAACTTTTTTTGAATGACAGAATGTTTTGATGTTGAATTACTGAAAAATATTAACAATATTAAAAAATATGAACAACTTTATTAGCTATTAATAAATAAAAATGTTATGATTATTAAGGGTTTAATGAATTTTGAGAATAGTTCTAAATGTCAGGACAAGCATCCATTACTATAGTTTCACTTTACATATCATCATTGGAAACTACATTGTGTACAAGCTGTATTAGTATTTTAACAGAAAAGCATTTTGCTGATATTTTTGAAAATTTACTTCTTTTTGTTTAAGCAGTTTAAGTTTAATTAAGGTATTATGATATCTTTGCAGGTAAAACTTGGAGAATATGCTAATTTCCAAGATGATCTGATGCCCTTCGATATGGACTGTCCAGTTACCAAGGCAACTCAAAATAACAAGACAAATTCAGAACAATGTTATTTATTCACAGGTAATTTTAACAAATCAGCAACCTGCAATACCTTAAGCTGAAAAATGAAAGTAATAGTTAAGACATAAATAAGTAGGTTGCAATGATTCGGTTTCTCACTGACTTAAATGAATTTATAAATGTTCAGCATTTCTACATGACAATAAAGATAGTGGTATGATCGATTAGATAATAAAAAAAAATAGAAAAAATTAAGACCTTCTATTTGGATAGCAGTTCGTTTAGTATGATATATATTTTCATATAATATGTAGAAAGTAAAATATGTCTCTGTTGATTTCTGTTTAAAGTTTATTTATTGCATGATTATTGAATTATGATATATAAATTATGTTTGCATTTATTAGATGAAGAGAAAAAACAGGTAGTTCAAACAGCAGAGAAGTTTAACAAGAGTGCTCAAGATCAATTGGAAGCTCTGTATGACAGCATTGACAACTGTGAACCAGTCCCAAACACAATAAAGTCACCCAAGTCCCTAAGTGAACTATGTGAAAACACTCTTGGTCTGTGTCACACGTCAAAGAAAAGGGAGCGAGAAACATCCTTGAATGTTGAGGTTGCCAATAAGCTTAAGCTATCAACAAATATTCAGAAGGATCAGTATGGACAAACGACAATGGAAGATGGTCCCAATTATGCTGATGAACCAGAAGAAAGTCCATTTTACAATTATGAATCTATTATGTTTGGTAAGAATGGAGATATAGTGCAAATTTGTGGCGTCTGTAAGAGACATTTCTCTGATATAGATGGCCTGTTGCGACACCACACAAAGAAACATCCTGCAGTTCAATGCAGCTTTCTACAGGTAGAACAAGGATATGAGATTGAAGATTTACATTTTTCAGAACCGTCAACAGTAGGAGCTCTAGCAGTTACAGACCCTGGACTCGATACTGTTTCTGATATGGACTTGTTTAGATGTACAAATTGTGCTGCTGTATTTAAAACTGTTTCTAAACTGCATGTACATATGGTTAACTGTTCATCAATTGACCCAATATTTGGTATTCAGAAGATGGAGAGTCAGTCCAGAACACCATTGAAAAAGAAGCTACAAAAGAAGATATTTAGCTTGTTTGGAAATAAGACAGATGCCACAAATGAGTTAAATTCTTTAACCTTCAAACTTACTCAGCAAAGAAACGAATCTCAGTCACCAAAACGTGTGTTCACTGGTTGTAGAAAAAGAACATCGTTTATTTTACCAGACTCTCCGCAGAAACTTGTCAGTGAACAGAAACCATTAATACCTACTTCATCTGGATACAATCCACAGAATCATGTCAGACGAAGAGAATTAACAGAAATATTGGATACATTGACATGCGAAGCTTGCGGGCTTAAGTTTAAGACTATTATATTACTTGAACGCCATGTCAAATACTGTTCAAAGAAAGAAAAATTTAAAAGCATTCAACCAATGGCATGCCCATTGATAGATGAATCACTTGAAAAAATCAAGAACATGTGCTTGTATTGCAACAAGAACTTTACATATACAAAAAGCTTAGTAAATCACTTTCAAGATTTTTGTCCAGTCAAAAGGGCAAAATTGGATAAGGGGGAACTTACTGAGCAAGATAAAATGAAAGAAGCTGAGATTATAGAAAGGATTCAAAAAGGAGAAGAAGTAAAAGCAGTTAAGCCAAAGGAAATAGAGAGTCGCCCTAAAAGAAATATGCCATGGCAGGTTGGAAGGAAATCAAAGCGTAAAGGTCATTCTTGGACAAATATAAAGAAAAGAAACCAACAGAAACAGTCTATTGGAGGAGCTGAAGTGGTTGAAGAGTCTGATGACAATGAAGGGTATGAATCTAGTGAATCAGAATCTGGAATGGAGGGAAATAAACTCACTGCTGCACCAGATGTAGATGATACTGACAGTGAAGTGAAAGAACCTTTGGTTGATACAACATCTAATGTTTCTGACAGTGATAAAATTGTAGACAGTGAAACATGTGATATAGTAAGAAATGAAGCAAAAGCTAGAGAAGGTAATGGTGAACAGTTTCTAAAAGGGTTATCAGACAAAGATAAGGTTAGTAATTATAACCCAGTTGTGAGTACTCCCTGTAACAAAATATTAGATGAAAATTCACACCTAGCAGTACCAGTGATTGAAGATGTTGTGCCAGCCTGTGCTATACCAACAGCTCTAGCAGTAGTTCAAGATGTTATTCAACCACCTGACATAACACCGCCAGTTGCAGTTCTTCAAGATTGTTTGTCACCAATTGGAAACACCAGCTTTAATTCCACTGATTCATCATTTGCTGAAAAGGATGGACCTATAACTCTATACACTTGCATTGATGTAAATAATACCTCTTTAAATTGCACAGCAAGGTATAGTGTAAACTTGGTTAATCCAGTAAAAAAATATAGACCTATTGCGCCAAAGCCCAAGTCATCATCATCAATGTTTCACTGTGTTTCAAAACTGATTCCAACCTCAAAACCAGTTAGTTCTGAAAAGGCCTTAGGAATAGACAATATAGCAACTTATGAAAATGGAAGTAATTTTAAATCATCCAGTGTGGAAATAAAAGAGGAAGCTAAATTTAAAATGGCAGAACAGGGTTTGATAACAGGAAAGCGAAAACGGGCAAGGGTAGGAAGAGTTGAAGAATTCCTACGTAATGCCTTTAAAAGGAAAAAGAATAAATTAGAAAGGAGATTAACAACAGGTGAGAAAGAGAGTTCTTTAACTTTAGTAGATCATCAATTGAAATCAGCAAGTGACTGTTTAGAAAAATCAAAATTGGTTGATACAGATACAATGAAATTAAGCATTGGAGATGCATCTTATTTGAAATCTAAACAAGCTGAAGAGAATACTCTTAATAAGATTTGTCAGGTAGTATTATCCAAAAAGAAACATTTGGGAGATAAATTAACTGAAGAAAGTGCAGAAACATCAGTACAAATGCACAAGTCCATGTCAAATTCATGCATTGATGTGTATCATAACGAAGAACAACATATTCAGAATGAATATCAATTTTACAGTGACAAAGGTAAGCTTGATAATGAATCATCGTCTATAAATACTAATCAAAAGCGAGGTAGGGGGAGACCTAAGGGATCAGGCATGAAAAAGCCGGCATATAAATTGAAACCTTTGCCTGGGAGAAAACGTGGAAGACCACGCAAGTTTAGTTTACCTGAAACATCAACTATTGATAATAAACTTAAATGTACTTCTGATCCTTTAGTTTCTGAGACTTGTGAAATTTCAGTTGATAAAGGAATTGATACTACAACAGAATTGGACAACTTTGCTGAAAGTGACAGTGGTGTAGAAAATAATGCACAGCATTCAGAAAATGAAAAGGTTTCCACCTATGATGTAGTGGCAGTGAATAAGAATGCTCATGATCTACAAGGTGATACAAAAGAAAGCCTCATGAAGTCTGGTGAGTCTTTCACTGGTAATGCAGAAGAGGAAATTGATGGTTATCCTGTTAATGGTAATGTCTTAAATATTTGTTCAGATGGTGAAAAGCGTAATGAAGTTAATAACAGCACTATAAAAGAAACTGAATCAAACGAAATGATTGGTCATACTACCTCAAATGAATCAATTGAACAAGGAGGTAATATTGTATGTGATCAAACGAATGGAAAAAGTACAGTTCATAAAAGTGTATCTGTCACAAACAATGTAAAAGATGAACACCATAAGAAAGTATTGAACAAAGAAGTTGATGAAAAAGAAAATCCTGTTAAGTTGAAACAATTTGAAATTACTGATAAATACAATACCAAGAAGACTTGCCCATCTGATCATGTAATAAACTGTAAATTTGATAATTATGATGAAGTGGATGGAGGTTACATTGAAGACACTGACTGTATGATAAACAGACAAAATAATGTAACATATGATGATAAAGTAACATGTGATGATCTTTCTAGTAACATATGTAACAAAGGTGATGAATCAGATTTGACAAATTATACTAGTGTTAAATTTATTGCAGAGCAGATTGCAGAAAAATCTTCAGAAAAAATGGCTTATTGTGTTGTACCAAGCAAAGATGAACAAGAAACAGTCGATAGGGATAACTTTGGCAAGGCTCATGCTGGAACAAACAGTTTGGATAACAAGCAGATTTTCTTGTATGACCATGTTGGTCACAACATTGAATGTGAACAGAAATGTCCGAATGAAATCAGCTGTAAAGAATCTGACAAACAAGATGTGAAAGATAAAAATACAGAGAAAGAGATTGACACTGAAGATAATACTAGTGACAATGATTGTGCTAAAGACTTTATTCCAGAATCAGAAACAAATGCAGCTAGTGAACTTGATGTTTTATTAGAACCTGTTCTCAGTCCAGGTGAAAGAGTGAAAATGAATAAAAGAAGCTGTAAGAAGGATGTTGATCTCTCGTCACCTGTGTGGGTTAAAAGAACAAAGTTGCACAAAGGAAAATCAGAGAAGAAACTAGATGACCCATTAATTGAAAGTGAGACTAATAGAAAAACTCAACATAAAGCACAGAGGACGGATGATAGTGCTGTAGTCGATAATAAATGTATGAAAATTGTTGGGAAATCTGATGATAGTAGTCTTGATATAGGTAGAAAGAGGAAAGTTGCTGAACTAGATGATGAAATTGCACCCAAACTAAAACATTTTAAGCAAGATGGTGTAAAGGGAAGTGTAAAAACTAACATAAGATTTAAGAAATGAATCTTGCATTGTCCTATGGTTAAAGACTTGTATATCTGATATCTAAACTTTGATATAAAATTTGTATATAGGTGTACATGAAATAGTCTTTCAAATGATTATATTTTAAAGCAAACACATTTATTAGTATGATAACTAAGAATGTTATTTTTGTCTTGTTACATTATTTTAAGGTATCATGTGTAAATAGTACTAAATACTTACTTTTAAATTTGATTTTTTTTTCATCAATGAAATTGATTGTTATTATTTGTACATTGTATACTGTCTTTCTGAAAGATACCATTATGGTGAAAATAAATTAATTATTTTGCATAAATATTGTTTTCAAGATTGTTTTTATTAGGATGAAATCTGATGTGGAATACTGAAATGTCATTATCTGTCAGTCTGTTCCAGCAATTAGGCGTGTACACATGTATATGTGAATAAGGAAATGAAGTCCACCAAATGCCTTCTAAATCCACCTGTAAATTATTTAGTTGTGACATTACAATACTTTTATTGCATTTTAGAAATATAAATGGTAATTTAATACTGGTCTGTAAATTTAGATACACTACAACATAATTGTGCATCTATTGAATACTTAACATAATTGTGCATCTATTGAATACTTACAGTAAATGTTACCGGCGTCGACATTATTATTAAGACCAACTGTAAAAAAAAATCAAGAAAATTTTCTGTTCAGAGCCTTTTGGAACTGGTTTGAATATTTCAGTAAAATTTCAAATGGAATTTAAAATGAAATTAGCCATAATGCATGGTAAATGCCTTCATAATTCATTATTAATGGACAGTTGAGTTATTTCCCTTTGATATCGGAAAAAAGAAAGTCACTTGGCATAAATGTATCACTGTATGAAGATACGATGCACAATAATTGCCATCAAAGTGAGTAGATGACTCCGTTTTTCATGTTACATACACATGTATTTGTTACGCAGTTTTCGACATCTGCTCGTCATGCTGTGAAATAAGATAATCTCTAGCTAGTCTAGGCAATCAAAAGATATCCAGTCATTTATATTGATCATTATATTTTACCAGTTGTTCAAACTTCTGATTTAATCGTTGCGTATCATTAAAAATTATAATTTTCTGTAAAGAATAAAGCGTATATATCAACCAATTTGAGTCCTGGTCTAATTATGTTCAAATTTCGTGCAATGACGTACAGTAACTAACTACATAATGTTTATTCGATGAATTACTGCGATATCATAAATATTTAACGAGAACACACTCGCTTGCAAATTCCATTACTTGTATCTATTTTCATGTATATATCTATTTTCATGTATATGTATGTAAAATATGATACTGAGCTGTCAATCAAATTATAAGGTAAATAAATACTTTATAATACCAAACAGCTAAATTAAACAGCAGGTATTTGCTTGCTTTGTCAATTATTTCTGTACGATATAGGACTTTTTTTTAAAGTAAAAAAGGCTTGAAAAGATGCTCAGCATATGATGAATGCTGTTGTTATTAACTGGTTTTCAGCAATGGCATAGGTATTTTATCAACTAACTAGGTATGTTTACTCAATGAATTACTGCAAGGTAACGAGAACACACCCATTTGCAAATTCTATGGTTTCCATCAATTTTCATTATTTATTCACATTTGTGCGAACTATTTCCCTCGCTTTTTGAAGCAATATGCTCTCCAGTTGTCAATTATAAATGAACCACTGAAAGTGAAAGCGTAATGAATAACTGAAAGTGTACTTTTTTAGAGGTAACTGGGGTTCTGTAATACATTATTGTAAGTGCGTTCTTTTAAAGGTAATAAAGGTTCTGGAATGCCGTTTCGGGATATAAGCCATTCTTTCAAAAACAACAAAAACATTGGTGCATGATAAATTAATGGTATACATCACAATAAACATATTAATATCCAATAAAGAAAGTAGAACCTTGCTTAAATAATATAAATATTGTCTCTGGTTCTAAACGGACCTCTTTTTAACGTGCATTAATATTTTACTGATCAAAAAGTGCAGTGAAAAAAGAACAATGATGAATTCAGACAATTTTTTGGTCAAAAGTTATTTTACCTGGATGTATATCTAATTTGTGTCTGATATGTACTTATACGGATGCTTAAATGTGACAACGAATTTTGAAACAATTTTAAATGGGCTATAGATCGAAGTACATTTGTATGTATAAACAAAACAGATCATATAATTAATATTGTCAGTTAATTTAATTCCAGTTGAAGGAGAAAGTGCGATATAAGTTATTTTAGTTGGACAGAATTTAAGAGCTTTTAGCCTTTTCAACTTTGGCAATGGTAAAAGCTGTTACCGAAAATGGTATACAAATGATGAGCGTTGCAAACATCTCGCAACGTCAAAATCTTAAAAATATTTAATATAATTTGGATACAGAATAAACAGTTATTAAACATTCAACAAGTTCAACTCCTGCGGGAATATATTTGGGCTCGTTCACAGCTTTAGAAACTACATTCGACAGCTCTCGTCCAATACGGTTTCTTCAGCTATGTAGTTGTCCAAATATATGCTTGTATTGTACAGTTATATATATATATAACTTATAAATAATGTACATTTTCCTAAAATAATGTATTATATGCACGACATTTCAGTACCAATTTTACGGAGTTGCAAAAGCGGCACGGGTATGTGATATGTACATTTATTTACGAGTACAAGACGCATAGACTTTATTGAGAAGAGGGATGTTATTTGCCTGCAATTAATTTACATAGAGGATTATACATGCAATTAATGGGCGTAAATATCATTATTTTATATGTTCTTCTTTTTACATCTTGTTAAAAAAACAACAACAAAAAACACAAACAAACAACTATACCTATTATGAGCATACGCTTATGGAAGCAGGGTCTTTCTATTTGAAAGACCCTGATGGAAGAGATGAAAAGGGAAAACAGTTGTCCTACTGTACTCTTTTTTATCTATCTTCCATTTAGTCAACCTCCTCCTTTCTATAGAATAAAAAAAAAGGAAAAAAAGAGTAAGTGTTCCAGCGGACAGCACTACGCTACACAAAGTAAATCTGATCAATGAGAGTTCCAGTGCATGGTGACCAGTACACAAGCTGTGGTCGGACAAATGTCTTGTAGGTTGTACTTTTAAGTGGTTCAGAGTGGACTTTGATGATTCGTCGCAGGAAAAACCTAGTGTTTGGTTTACTTTTTAGTCCCCTACCGGTTTACCGGAGGGGACTTTAGGCTTACCCTCCGTCCGTCTGTCCGTCCGTCTGTCCGTCCGTCCACAAAACTGGATCCCGCGATAACGCAAAAAGTACTGAAAATAATTTTATGAAACTTGATATATGGATAGATGGCAGTATGGAGATTATGCACGTCTTTTTCTTTTCTTCCTATGTTGAAAATTCTGGTTGCTATGGCAACAAATAGACTGAAAATATGGCAAATTTTACACATAACCTGGATCCCGCGATAAAGCAAAAAGTACTGAAAATATTTTTATGAAACTTGATATATGGATAGATGGCAGTATGGAGATTATGCACGTCTTTTTCTTTTTTTCCTATGCTGAAAATTCTGGTTGCTATGGCAACAAATAGACTGAAAATATGGCAAATTTTACACATAACCTGGATCCAGTGATAATGCAAAAAGTACTGAAAATACTTTTATGAAACTTGACATATGGGTAGATGGCAGTCTGGAAATTCACATCCTTTTCTTATCTTCCTTTGTTGAAAATTCTGGTTGCTATGGCAACAAATAGACTGAATTTCAAGATTTCTGATTTTAGTTTTTAAGTTTTTTCACTAGAAGTTCTTTATTTCTAAAGGTATTTTCTTCAAACTTTAAATATAAGTTGCTAGTCATAAACCACATTATATGTGACAAGGTTTACAACTCTAGCACTAAATTTATTAGAATTACCTCCCTTGAACTTAAAATTTTCATGAAAAAAAATATTGTTTTTTTAATAACTTCTTTTTTTCTGAATGTATCTACTTCAAACTTCATATATATGTTTCTTATTATCACGAGAAAGGTCAATACTCTAGCAAGACTTTTTCCAGAATTATGCCCCTTTTGAACTTTTTTTTCGAGAAATTGGTAATTTTTACTCCAAATTCTTCAATCATTATAGGATTTTCTTCAAACTCCTTCAGTGTCCTTCAATCCGTCTGTCTGTCTGTACATAAAAACAGTTTCCAGTGATCACTTTTAAAGAACTTTTTCAACAAATTTACTTAAAATAGAAACATAAGTGAATGGTCAATGGTCCTTCAGAATGTTGGAACCGTTAGGGGACTTATGGATTGCTTGCATGCAATACTATGATAATTGCTTGTTTAACAATGTCGTCAATGTGAGTGATCCATATTAGATTTTCTGATAAAGCGACATCAATTAAGGTACTTTAATTGCTGATGGTACTGATTCTAGAATGATATTGTGCATATTGTTTTGGGATATGAGTCTCTCGCTTTGTCACCTTTATCTTCATCTTCAAGAATGAATTGACATTTTCAAAGATTGGATTTCATGTCCTATTTTGATTCAAATGATCTGAGTAGGTCTTGTTGTAGATGGGAGTAGTGAGAAGCGTTGTATCGTCTGCAAATAGTCGATCTTTACAATACAGTAGACTCGTAAAATCAGCCAAGATCATTTTATATAGGCCTAGATAAGAAACAAGAGAGGTCCTAGGACCTGCCCCTTGGGGACAGCTGAGCAGACTTGGAGAGTATCTGGCATAGAACCATTTACTAAATATTACTGATTGTGACCTGTACTGTACGGACATCGCTGTGGGCGAGACGACCACGATTTCATTTAGTATTCGTATAGATGTAGTATGATGGCGGCGCCCACAGGATTTGATTTCTGTGTCGCAAGAAATGCATTTAATGTAAGTCAATAGCCTTATTTTAGTATTTACATAGTAAGCAAAATTTTGTATTTATTAGCTGTGTCATATATTTTATAACACTTCATCAATTAAAAAATTAAATTTGTTGCATGTTTCGGTTACTAATAAATTCGGATAAACTATGGTGAGGCCCGTTCATTGGTCTCTGTCTTGATGTTTATTAGGTAAATGCATCATGCATTTCTTCTTTAGATACTTCTTGCATTCTATATCATTTAAATCACCTTCTAGTTTAATTTCCATTAATTGTGTTGGGGAAAAAACAGCATGTTTTTTTCTCCCAAGTTCATAAAAAGAACTATTTCTATTCAACCTCACTTAATCCATGAAATAAAAATTTTCACGATAATGACATATTTCTATGTGGCAGATGATTATACATTGGCAACAGTTGAGCTTTTTTAAGTCAAACAAAGCATTCATCTGTTCATGCAATTTCTAAAAATCTGCACTTGTCTGGCACAATTGTGTTTATTCTTGAAGGATTTTTACTTCATGTATCATCATCTCTTATGATAAGAATATGCATGTGTGTAAAAATCATTGAAATATAATATGAAATTAGGCAATGATTATGAACGGGGAAGTCGTTAAAAATTCCTTTCATTCTTTCCGTTTTAAAGGTGTCATTCGGTATTACATGCACCGCTTCCGTTTTCACTCCGAACACTCGACGATTATCATTTATCCGAAAAGTTGAGATTTGTTCCGTTATCGGAATACCCCGCCTATCATCATTGAGTTACATTGTAAATGGCGGCGCCCGACTAGAACTGACACTGAAAATTTCATTGATAGGTATAGAATTCTATATATTTTTTAATTGTTTTTTATTTGATTTTCTTTTAAATATACACGTGTAGTCTATAGCCGGGCAAGCCAAAGCCCGGGCCCGCGAAGCGGGCCCGGTCTTTGACTTCCCCGTATAAAGGAATGACTTAATTATTCAGAGTATTTTACCTTCAAATTTGTCTTTCAAAAAAAACCTCAACAAATTTGCTTTCTCATTCTGTGACAACAAAGAAATTTACAGACTTTTCCTAGCATATATGAAATTATTAACTTTCATGACTAGCTAGTGTCCTTTATGATTACAAACATGTCATGTACATTATTCAGTCAGAAGAAGTACAGAAAAAAGAATGGGTGGTTTATTATATGATAAAGTACCCAGATGTTGCTAATATCTTGTTTTTCCCTTTTCAGAAAGTCATTCATCAAGTTGTAGATGAAAACTCATTGGAACCATATAAGAAATTTATTGACAGCTTTCCAGCAAGGTTTGATATATCTACAAAGATTTTTTTATTTGTATTTTTAAATAATTTCTATTATACGTCATGTATGATTCAGTGCAAAGGATAAAATATAAATGAGCTGCATCATGACAAAACCATTATAGTGCGTTTGCGGCCAGCATGGATCCAGACCAGCCTGTGCCTCCGTGCAGTCTGATCAGGATCCATGCTGTTCGCTATCAGTTTTTCTACTTGTAATAGAGTTGGTAAACGAACAGCATGGATCCTGATCCTGGTCTGGATCCATGCTGGTCGCAAATGCACTATGTTGGTTTTGTCATGACATGGCTCAAATGATAGCCAAAAAATGCCAAATTTAATCTGTTTATAAGCTTTAAAAATATATTGATTCAAGTAATTGTTATGTTGCACAGTGTATATTACTACATTCTATAATTATTTCAGTGAAGTTTGATAATGCTATTAAATTTCACTACCTAATTGTCAACTGCTGATTATATTGCAGTTACAGTTTTATATACATAAACTATAGGACACCACATGTTTCTTTATGTTAGATACTCTGAATACGTTGTTGGTTTTCAATTGCATGTTTTTGTATTTCTTTTATTGATACTTATATTTTTGTATTTCATATACTTATCAAATGTTTGTGTTACAGTTGAGGTGTTTATATTTCAGTGAGGGTGAGAAGAGGGTGACTATTGACCAGTCTTTCAGAGACGTTTTAAGAGACCTTACAGTAAGTATGACTTCCAAGTTCCATTCATATTTCTTTCATGATTTTATTGTAGTGCAATGCATCAGCATATATACACTTGATAACCCACCTTTCCATGTTTTTCATAAACTATTTTAATGATGAGTCTTTTAACAATTTTGTGATAAAAGTTACAATTTATGTAAGCTTAGAACAGCCACTTATATGTTGAACTAGATGATAAAAGATAAACTTTAATTGAGGCATAGTCAAAAGTGTTTCCTGATTATTTTATATTGCCTGCATGATATATTATACTGTTATGTGATGAAATGTTGATATATTTTCAGAGTTCTAACAATGGTTGTGAGGTATACAGAAAATTCATTTGTCTCACAATTGATGCTGTTACAGCAGGTAGTTATTCTTTGGTATTCACTAAATATAATCTTGTGTACCTATCTGACTCTGTTTTGCATATTTGTTACAAGCCTACATGAAATATATTAGTGGAACTTGACAAAAACCCTTAAATGCAAATGTAACTTCAGGGTCATATAGCTATATCTGTGTCCCTAAAATTTTGTAGCATTGTTTCTGTTTACTGAATATAGTCAATTTTCTCCAAATGCATACAATTACATGTATTAAATACTATTCTATATTTAAATAAATGTGACTGTTTCACATTTAATAACCTTGTAATAAAAATATTTCATCAGTTTGTCTTCCTCAGCTTATAGCAGCCCCTATGTTTTGTCTGTCTGATAGTTTGTCTGCCACAAAATTTTAACCTTATCCTTCCACTAACAGTCTCCAAACTTCAAAGGCGCATGCACTTTGATAAGCTGTACCCACCAGACTTACTAAGAGGTCATGGGGTCAAAGGTCAAGATTACCCACAAAGGGGATGTCGAGGGGCATAGTGTTCATTTGAATATAGTGTTTTTATGTAGAAATATTGGTATAAATTTATAGAGAAAAAACGTAGGTATGTTTATTAGTTAAGTTTACAAGAATATATAAATTAAATCATTGTCTGTATATAAAACACTGTTTTAAACTTTGACTAGACACAATTATAAAATGTGTTGTATATAAATTAAGAAACAAATTAATTATATATTGTTGGCATGTTTCAGACCTGTGTACTCCTACAATACCATTTATGTGTATAACAGATGTATTTGATGTTATACCCATTGACCAATGTGAGGACATGTTTGGTCTGGTTGAAGATAAGGTCAAGGTTTGGAAATCTGTAAGTATACAATACTTTCATACCTCTCATACAACTTAACAACAAGTTTATATTAGGTTTTATTCAGATGTAAAGGAGGGTTAATTTGAATGAAACCCATTCTGTAATGAAATTTTATTGTTGTTGCTTTGTTTGTAACTTGTTTCTTTCCTAATTATGCATTTTGTGTTTTTCATTTTAGCAAATATTCTATGATACAGGGAAGAATTTCTTGCTGCGAATGTGCAATGGTAAGTTCCTTTTTTGATATTATATGAACAAAAGGCATCCAAGGACGAGTGGTTAAGGTCATTGACTTCAAATCACAGCTGTGGGTTCATATCTGGGCAGGAACTGTGAGGAAGCTATCTGGCTAGTTTATGTAAACATCAATGGTTCTACCTAAGTGGCTGTTGGAGTCTGAAATAATGCAGCTTAGGTCTTTCTCCACCAGTAATTGAGTAAAGCTGGATAGTCACTATATAACCTATAATTTGTTAGTGCAATGCAAAGCCCATCCAAAAGAAAAAATTGAACAATAAAAGAAAAGTCATCAGTTTTATTTTTCTTTGATTTATATACTCAGGTGTTACTTGGGTTTAATATATAACAATTTTTCTCTTTCATAGAACATAAAATTAGGTTCATTATAAAGTGTGAAGTATTGTTATAAGCTATAGATATAAGCCATGTGCTGTTACAGGCATTTACATGTATGTCATTGCATATATGCACATAAGAGATTGTTAGAATGGAAATGAATGGAGAAAATTGTTTATTACGAAATGTCTGTTAATTTATACTTATTTCCTGAAAACAAGTTTACTATAATTGTAGATTTGTTACGACGTTTATCAAAGTCTCAAAATACAGTGTTTTGCGGAAGGATTCAACTATTTTTATCCAGGTTATTCCCTCTTGCAGAAAAGTCAGGTAAGAGATTCATTTACTATACTGTTGTGAAAAAATATGAAAATTGAAAGGGATTGGAATTTGATAGAAAAAAAGACAACAAAAATATATACATGTACATGTGTATATAGAAATATGAAGATTAAGAAGGGAGACGAACACTCACAGAATACAGTGACCCAAAACATCCAGCTTAGCAGGATGTTTAGAATGGCACCCAGCAGAGGGCATAGAATGCTAGCGAAAGTTCACTAATTACAAGGCAGTTAATTAATTCTAAACTGAAACAAAATTAAGATGGCCAACAATTTAAATTGGGAACCTGAAAACAAATGTTTTATAATTTAAAGATTAACTATTATAGACAGTTCCTTACATTAAGAATTTACTTTATATCACATTTTTCTAGTTGTTGCCTTATATATTTTAAAATATTCATTTCATTTAAAGCTTTGATATATTCATTTTGATATTTTTACGTCAATTATTGAGATAGATTATATATATGATGATGATGTTATATTATTGTTACAGCATTAAATCTGATGAGTCAGTTTAACCTAGAGAATGTGACGTTGTACAATCAAGCTAAACCTGAACAAACTGTAGACAAGGTAAAAATTTAATAGATGCTTTTCACGTAGCAATTATTATCTCCCCTGGCTGCTATTTTGCGGTTCATTCCCAATATGTTATATCCCTAAGATAAGATAAAAATCTCTCATCTTGGAAACTAATAAAAATATTTTTCATATTAGTACATGTATATGATTTTGAAAATTCAACTAAACTAGCTATTTATATTGATTTTTAAAAAATTTTGTCAACGATATTACAATTGAGCCCCAAAATGGCTGCCACTGTTTACAATGGAGGTAAATATTGTAAAAACAGGAACTATCTATACTTTACTTAACTTTAATAGCACAAAGAATGAAATAGTTTGTAACAATCTTGTCTCTATTGTTTCACTTTATTCGTACTGAAAAATTACATGTTATATAATGTCAAGGTCAACAGATAAATGACTTTACTAACTAAGGGAGCTGTGGTGTCTGCTTTTCTACTCTAGTCTGTAAGCCCTACATTGATGATAACAATGTTCCTCATATAACACTTACATTGTATAATGTTGATGTTAAGAGAGGAATTCTCAAAAGTGACTATTTACCAGAAGTTGACAGTTTTCTTCCAAACTGAGCTAAAATGATTAAAGTTTAAACAAAAGCCAAGTTATGGCAGATATTTTAGAAAATTATAAAACCAAAACTATAAACGTAATTAAATTGATAAAAACATACACTGTAAATATAAATAAATGAGCAGCGCCATGATAAAACCAACATAATGGGTTTGCAACCAGCATGGATCCAGACCAGCCTGCGCATCCGCACAGTCTGATCAGGATCCATGCTGTTCCCTTACAAACCCTATTATAAGTAGAGAAACTGATGGCGAACAGCATGGATCCTGGTCGCAAATCCATTACTTTGGTTTTGTTGTGACGCGGCTCAAATGTGTAACTTGTATCTGTCAGGATGGAGAGAAAAAAGAAGCAGAAACTATGGAAACAGAAGATGAAGAACATAAAACGTAAGAAATATGACATAAATATAATCTACAAATATATACTTCATAACACATACAGTTTATTTAAGTCTTCACACTTCTCTTTATTTGTCAAGGATATGTTTATGAGCCAAGTTAACTTCAAACCACTTGCCCCTCACTGCTGTGGGTTCGAATTCCAGCAGGGACTTTGGATTCGAAATGAGGAAGCTATCCAACTAGCTTACGGAATTCTGTAGATTTTGATAAAACTCTCTAGAAATGATCATTTGTTGGTCCATTTCTAATATTGCAAAAGTCATTCAAGTCTGCTGAACAAAATGGCCAACACAGCTAGAAAATAGAAAATACTTTCATCAACATCTTTTCCTAAATGACTGGGTAGATTTTGATAAATTTCTCTGTAAATAATCATTTGGTGGTCCTTTTAGTAACTGACTAAAATCATTCAAGTTTGGTGATCAAAATGTCCACAACAGCTAGAAATAGAAATAAGTTTCAAACAGCATTCTTGTCTAAACTGCCGAGCAAATCTTAATAAATTCAAGAGGAATTATCCTTCGGTATTCCTGTACAATATTGTTTATAGCATTACCGTGCTGAACAAGATGGCTGTCTGTGAATTTAATAGAGAAATAAGACATTTCCTCAGCCACTTTGCAGATTTTGATGAAACTTTGTAGGAACAACATAATAATAGAATTCTGTCTATGTAAACCATATTCTTGGGTGAGCAATTGAGAGTTATCATTCTTCATGATGATTTATTACTTTGTATTAGATGTTGTTGTTTTTCCCCATATGAGTTATCAACTATTTCTAGTGACAGCATTGTCATATTTTGTGTATTTATCTTGTAGAGAGACACCTATAGACTACAGTTTGTACAGAAAGTTCTGGGCATTACAAGATTTCTTTAGGAAGCCAAGTCAATGTTATGAGAAAAAATTATGGTCAACATTTCTGACAGTAAGTGTAACAATTATACTATGTACAAGGGTTTTCTGGAAAGTTCATTTTCTGCATTTATTTTTAGCTCGACTATACGAAGTATATGGAGAGCTGTCCTACTCGCCCTGGCGTCCGCGTCCGCGTCCAGATTTTAGATTTAAGTTTTGGTGCAGTAAAATATTTTTCACTATAACTTTGTCATTTCTTAAGGTATCAACTTCAACTTCAAATATATGTTCCTTATCATCAACCACATCTTATGTGACAAGGTTCATAACTCTAGCACCAATATTTTCAGATTTATCTCCCCTTGAACTTAGAATTTTCCTTAAAAAATACTATTTTTTACTGTTACTTCTTTATTTCTTAAGGGATTAACCTCATACTTCAAATATATGTACCTTATCATCATCCCCATCTTATGTGACAAGGTTCATAACTCTAGCACCAATATTTTCAGATTTATCTCCCCTTGAACTTAGAATTTTCCTCAAAAAGTACTATTTCTTACTGTTTCTTCTTTATTTCTTAAGGGATCAACCTCATACTTCAAATATATTTACGTTATCATCATCCCCATCTTATGTGACAAGGTTCATAACTCTAGCACCAATATTGCAAGAATTATCTCCCCATAAACTTAGATTTTTTTACTAGAAAAATGTTATTTTTTATTATAACTTTTTTATTTTTAAAGGTATCTACCTCAAACTTCAAATACTTATTCCTTATCATCAATTACATTTTATGTGACAATGTTCATAACTCTTGAAGCAATATTTACACATTTATCTCTCTTTGAACTTAGGATTTTCTTTAAGAAATATAATAACTTCTTTACTTTTTAAGGTATCTACTTCAAACTTCAAATATATATTTCTTATCATTACACAAATGTTGTGTGACAAGGTCCATAACTCTAGCATGACTATTTCTAGAATTATTCCCCTTGATCTTGGAATTTATGTTAACAAATATTATTTTTTTACTATAACTTAATACATAATTATACATAATTGATTTTTCTTTCATAGTTTTGTCCTCCTTACTGCGTCCAGTATTTTATTAGTCGAGCTTGGCTGTCTCCTGTGACAGCTCTTGTTTACTCCAAAAGCAATTCATACATATACCAAAGTTTGCCAGCAAATACATTGAACATAGAAATTTAAGAAACAAGTTTACAAAAAAACTATTTAGCTATGATGAAATTGACATTATAATAGCCTTTACATATGAAATATATATATAGTCACTTGGCACTTTGACAACTTCATTAACATCAAATGAGGGTTCTTTTCATAGTTATTTTATGATGTAAAATTTTAGAGTAGAGTTATTCCTGTAGAAGCAGATTTTGCTATTTAGAATTTACATATAGAAATTTTCTATGTAGAATTTTCATGTAGAAGTTTGCTCTAAGTAATTCAGATGTAGATATTGTTTTATATAACCAAGATGCAAACTTTAAGTATGTAGAATTTTGTATAAATTCCGTTTTATCACATTTAGATGCAGAACGTTGTTAAAAGAATTTTAATGTTAAGTTTGTTGCAAGGAATTCAGATTCAGTTTTTTGTTTTATATAATTAAAATTCAAACTTTAGGTATGGAGAATTTGAAATATATTTGGTTTTATCACATTTAGATGCAGAACTTTGTTTTATAGAATTTATATGTAGTAGTTTGTGATATAAAATGTTGATGTGGAAGAGTGTCATTTAGAATTCAGATTCAGTATTTGAAGCATTTGCCAGTTCAAAACTTGATGACATGAAATCGTCCAAGAAGAAAGTTGATCAGAGACGAAATCTAGAACCAGATGCTTTCTTTGCTAAATATCTCACTAGTGAAAAGGTGAGTTACCTTGTGACTTACTTTTATAATATACAGAGAGTAAGTTTAGAGCTGATAGGAAATGGAAAACATAATTATGTAGGATAATTATTATTCTGGTTCTTCTCTAGTGGGATCATTTTCTCCATTTTGAATGTTTTGATGAGTTTTTTTTTAATTGTTTATTAAAACTGAATTTATTTTTTATGCTCCCCGAAAAATTTCGGGGGAGCATATAGTCGTCGGTTTGTCCGTCCGTCAGTCCGTCCGCACTCACAGGACAGTAATTATGTGGCTAGAGGGACAATAGGTAACTGTTCTTTCCTGTGGGAACGTCACAGGAGAGTAATAATGTGGCTACTCTATTGTTCTCTCTATTGTTCTTTTTAGCCACACAAAAGAAAATAGCCACATAAAAGCATTACGGAATGAATGACATCAAAGAGAAAGAACAGTTACCTATTGTCCCTCTAGCCACATAATTACTGTCCTGTGAGTGCGTCCGTCCGTACGTACGTACGTACGTACGTCCCAAATTCGTGTCCAGCCCATAACTTTGTTATTTGAAGAATTGAGAAGATGTGTCGCGCGCAACATTTGGGTCGCTACCTTGAAGGTCAAGGTCACAGCATGACCTTGCAACAAAATCGTGTCCGGCCCATATCTTTGTTATTTGAAGTCGGAATTAAAAACTTTTTCACAGAAATGATCACCATATTGAGACAACGTGTCGCGCGCAACATTTGGGTCGCTACCTTGAAGGTCAAGGTCACAGCATGACCTTGCAGCAAAATCGTGTCCCGTCCATAACTTTGTTATTTGAAGTCGGATTTTAAAAATATTTCACAGAAATGATCACCATATTGAGACGACGTGTCGCGCGCAACAGCTGGGTTGCTTTCTTGAAGGTCAAGGTCACAGCATGACCTTGCAGCAAAATCGTGTCCGGTCCATAACTTCATTATTTGAAGTAAGATTTTAAAAATATTTCACAGAAATGATCACCATATTGAGACGATGTGTTGCGCGTAACATTTGGGTCGCTACCTTGAAGGTCAAGGTCACAGGATGACCTTGCAGCAAAATCGTGTCCGGCCCATTACTTTGTTATTTGAAGTCGGATTTTAAAACTTTTTCACAGAACTGATCACCATATTGAGACGACCTGTCGCGCGCAACATTTGGGTCGCTACCTTGAAGGTCAAGGTCACAGCATGACCTTGCAGCAAAATCGTGTCCGGTCCATAACTATGTTATTTGAAGTAAGATTTTAAAAATATTTCACAGAAATGATCACCATATTGAGACGATGTGTTGCGCGCAACACCTGGGATGCTTCCTTGAAGGTCAAGGTCACAGCATGACCTTGCAGCAAATCATGTCCGGCCCATAACTTTGCTATTTGAAGTTGGATTCAAAAAGTATTTCACAGAAATGATCATCATATTAAGATGACGTGTCACGCACAAAATTTGGGTCGCTGCCTTAAAGGTCACAGCATGACCTTGCAGCAAAATCGTGTACCGCCCATAACTTCCTTATTTGAAGTCAGATTTTCAAACTATTCCACAGAAATGATCACCATATTGAAATGGCGTGTCGCGAGCAACATTTGGCTTGTTACCTTGAAGGTCAAGGTCACAGCATGACCTTGCAGCAAAATCGTGTCCGGCACATAACTTCATTATTTGAAGTCGGATTTTACAACTATTTCACAGAAATGATCACCACAATGAGACATTGTGTTGCGCGAACATTTGGGTCGCTACCTTGAAGGTCAAGGTCACGGCTTGACCTTGCAGCAAAATCGTGTACCGCCCATAACTTCCTTATTTGAAGTCAGATTTTTAAACTATTTCACAGAAATGATCACCATATTGAATCGACGTGCCGCATGCAACATTTGGGTCCCTACCTTGAAGGTCAAGGTCACAGCATGACCTTGCAGCAAAATCATGTCCGGCGCATTACTTCGTTATTTGAAGTCGGATTTTACAACTATTTCACAAAAATGATCACCATATTGAGACAATGTGTTGTGCCCAATATTTGGGTTGTTTTTACACTTTGAACTTTGTCTGTGGCATAATTCTGACACAACAAGAGGTTTACCTTCCTGTGTCCAAAACCTATTCGGGGAGCATCACCCGGTTCAACCGGCTCTTGTTTTCAATTTTCAATATAAACATACTTTGTGATTCGTGAAGTTAATTGAACATTTTTGTTTATTATAATGGTTTATACAAAAAAAATAATAATAAAAGATGTAAAAAAAACACCACAAACCACAAAAAGAACCTAAAAACAAAACTAAGTATGTAGCTACAATGTAAGGAAAAGAGTAGATAATATATATATTCTTTTTTTTTCAGTTGTTGAATCTTCAGTTGAATGACAGTAATTTCAGGAGATATGTTTTGGTACAATTCCTCATTATATTCCAGTATTTAAGTGCCCCTGTCAAGTTTAAAGGGTAAATATCATGTTTTCTAGTATATGTTGAATTGCTGTGATGAATGTTTTATTGTAATAATATAGAGTTAACACCATTTTTGTGTCGCCTCTACAGAGTAGTGGCGACATATAGGGATCACTTCTCCGTCGTCTGTCTGTCCGTCTGTCTGTCTGTCTGTCTGTCCGTGCGTCCGTCACAAAACTTGTCCGGACTACTCCTCATAAACTACTGGTGCAATTTCATCCAAACTTTACAGGATGATCAGTACCAAGTCTAGTTGTGCATATTGTCAGCATTTTCCCAGTTCAATGATTTTGTCAGAGTTATGGCCCTTTAATAATTTTTAATTTTAAAGTTTGTCCGGACTACTTCTCTTATACCACTAATGCAATTTCAATGAAACTTTACAGGATTGATCTGTAGCTCAAGTCCTTGCGCATATTGCACAGGTTTTCCGGTTGAATGATTTTTGGCAGAGTTATGGCCCTTTGATAAAAAGGTTTCTTTTTTCTGTGTGTTGCCAGATACACAAAAGCTTGTCCGGACTACTTCTCATAAACTACTGGTGCAATTTCATCCAAACTTTACAGGAATGATCAGTACCAAGTCTAGTTGTGCATATTGTCAGCATTTTCCGGTTCAATGATTTTTGTCAGATTTATGGCCCTTAAATAATTTTTATTTTTAAAGTTTGTCAGGACTACTTCTCTTATACCACAAATGCAATTTCAATGAAACTTTACAGGATTGATCTGTAGCTCAAGTCCTTGCGCATATTGCACGGGTTTTCCGGTTGATAGATTTTTGGCCGAGTTATGGCCCTTTGATAAAAAGGTGTTTTTTTCTGTGTGTTGCCAGATACGCAAAAGCTTGTCCGGACTACTACTCATAAACTACTGGTGCAATTTTATCCAAACTTTACAGGAATGATCAGTACCAAGTCTAGTTGTGCACTGTCCGTCTGTCTGTCTGTCACAAAATTTGTCCCAACATAAAATTTGCCTTCATGAGGCGACACATGTGACTACTGATCGCTCTTGTTTTGTGTTTAAACGTCTGCAGAGTCCCGAGGAACGCTTGATGTCCGAGCTAGGTAGGGCAAGGGCTCCAACGGTTCCGAGGGACTCTGCAGACTTTATATCACAAAATAAAGGTGCGTTGACGCTTTTATGGCTTAAAATTTTAAAACAGATTCATGATGTATATTTAATACAGAGCACATACATTAAATCCTTGTGCGTGGAAGGTATTTTTCCAGTTTTTCATGTTTAACGTATGTGTTTTATTTTTTCCCGGGGCCAACTACTTGGGAAATACGAATGCTAAGAACCGAACAAAATATCGAATTTTAATTGATTTAACCAAGCTTAGCATTGGATATTTACTAACTCAAGAAAAAAACATTAAATTACCCTACCAAAGACAAAACATGACCCTTAGAAATTCCTGGAATGATTTCAGATTGATGGTAGAAAAAAGATAAGTGACATCAGAATCGTATTGATTTATTCAGGGAATCGGTTTTTTTTAAGCAAAAAAGTTAACAAAAAATATCAGGCACTAAACATTATTCTCTCAAAGATATATAAATAGCAATTATCAATATAAACATCAATAAAACAACATTTTCTCTTATTCTTTTAGTGTTATCTTATTTTGTAAGTTAATCGGAGGGTTAAACTGAATGACAAATATTTGTTTACATTGACAACTGTCCACATTTCTTAGAAAGGGCGACAACAAAGATTAGCGAGTGAGACTAAAAAAAGGATTGGAACACCACACTAAATACTGTATTCAGGTGTATACTGGACAAGGCGCTTGAATGATAAAATGCTTTAAATTTGCCTTTTTACCCAACAGAATGAACTTTTAAAGGCCTAATTCATCTTTTCACACGGATTTATGCATGATAATGAATGTAAAATGTAATTTTTTTTGTGATCATGATATATGCAAGCCTCTAGAGTTACTGCTCCAATTCTGTAATGAGTTAAATCCAAGATTACCGGCAATGTCTTTATGCCGTATTTCCGGCATAGTGTCTTGAATGCTACTCGCCATTATGTGATTGACACCCTCGAATCAATAATTTCAATAAAACAAGAGCACATGACTCTTTGACAAATGACCAAATCGTCAATTTTTTTGTTTGGGCCCTGTATAAGTAAAAATAGCTGATTTTATGCTGTAATTTAGTTTGTTACTCATGAATATGAATGCAAAGTGAATGTTCTATAATCTTGATGGTGACTTAAAAAAAGATTGGTAAAAATGAAAATAATTAGAACGAAGGTGAAATTAAGATGTGAAAGATTATTATTATTGTGTTAGATTTTTTTTGTGTTGATCAGATTATTGTACATGGATATGGTTTATTTTTTCTTAATATTCATCTGTGTTTGGTTGATGACTTCAAAACATATTTAAGGATGAACATTAAATTTATTCTGATAAGATGGTACACTATATTGGAAGATAGAGCATTACATACAGTCATTTGGATCATTTTTTCAATCCTTGTTTAATTATCCCCCGCAGAAAATTTTCGGCGGAGGATATAGAAATAGTCTCCGTTCGTCCTTCCGTCCGTCCTTCCGTCCGACATTTTTGTCCAGAGCATATCTCTAAAAGTATTTGAGTTATCAACTTGAAACTTCATAGCTGGATAAACCTCATTGAGGAGGAGTGCAGTGCACAAGAATGATAACTCTACCTTGCATGATTTTTGAGTTATTGCCCTTTGTTATTTTTCAAAATTGATTTTTGTCCAGAGCATAACTCCAAAAGCCTATGAGATATTAACATGAAACTTATAAATCATATATTTATCCTCTCTTTTTCTTACCTTATGAATTTATTTCACATTTCTGTTTGAATGTACATTATACTTGTTTAATATACCTTTATAGGGGCAAGGTTCAGGTAACAAGATCTTCATGTTGAAAATTGTTTCTGTTTGTTTCAGTCAAGCTCATACACTGAGTGATGAACAATGTAACTGGATAAAGTCATCTTCAGAGAGGATTTATCAGTTAATTAAAGAGACTCCACCTGACGGGGAACAGTTTGCCAAGACTGTGGAACATATACTAGAGAGGGAGGAACACTGGAACAGGTGGAAAAATGATGGTTGTCCCGATTTTGAGAAAAAACTTACAGATGATGCAAAGAAACAACAAAGAAGGTGAAAAACCTGCAATATATGATAGTCATAATTGTTACTATAATTTTTATAGAAAAGAAGATAACTACCCAAATGGTAGTTTGTGTACAGTACAGTATATTATATTTCAATTTTCAAATAAGATTTTTGACTGATGTTTTTTGTTGGGATTGAAAATATTTTTCAAATTTTTGCAAATTTTCAGATCATTCCCTCTCCCCATTTATTCAGAATCATCATTTTTATTTTTGCAAAATGAGCCAAAATTGAAGAGCTTTGCAAAGTTTTCAATCAAATCTGGCTAATTGATTTTCAATTTAATTCAGAGCATATTAAAATTGATTTTCAATTTAATTCAGAGCATATTTCTTTTAGACCTCAATGGATTTCCTTTAACATAGGATGTTTATGAGCTTTCTTGTAAATAAACATGTTTCTGCGAAACAAATTACACATAAAGTATGTTTTATAATTACAGAGCAAAAAGACGTCGTATAGGAGATGATTTACAGGCAAGCGGTGGTAAAGTCATTAAAATGGGTCATCCGGAACTAACAAGACTTTGGAATCTAAATCCCAATAATATGAATGCTTGTAAATCAGATGACAGGTAATTCATTCATTTACTGTAAATGATAAACTATAACAAGATTTGTAGTTATAGATAATTGTGTTAAGTAGCAGGTAGTTATAGATAATGGCCTTGTACCCACTCAACACCCCATATTGATAAAAGACTGACATTTAATTAGAAGCCCATTTGTTTACATAATGGAATGTTCAAGCTGTTCCTCCATCAGGAAAGCTAAACCATATTAAATCACATTAACAGTATAACATTGTGCAGAGGACTCAATAATTTTAGGCATATAGTCAAGGTCACAAGGTCACAGCAATTTCAATACTGTTAATTTGTCTGTGGTCACCAGGATACACTTAATGCTAAATGTTAATTAATCATATATAAAAGGAAATTATTTTTTATAAATTTTATTACTTTTGAATAATTAAAGGTTGTCTTTATTTAGAGATTTGCTAATTAACAAAACAATAATAATGATTTGTTTCATCCAGTATGTAAACAAGTATTTTGATTAAATTGTGGTATAATTTTAACCCATTGCTGGTTAACTGACTTCCTGATTAGTAATTCTTTTTTGTTATTTAGTAATGATAATTTGATTTTTTAAGTGCCATTGTACCATTTTATGAAACATTTTCAGTTCGATTATAGAACTAAGTAACATGTAAGTTTGTTTAATCTGTTTTAGTTCAGTGAAATGAATAAAAATCAAGAATTTTTTTATTTTTTGGGTTTGAAAAACCAATGGGGAAGAATTTTTGTATATTTGGCTGAAGAAATATGTTTTTTATGGGTTTTAAAAAATTTTAGATAAATTTTTTCAATTTAACACTGTTGTATGATATGTTGCAGATAATTTTAAAATTGGTTTTCTTTTGTTTTTTCCCCTTTTCGGTCATCATGTTTTTTTATAAAGCTTTGATGGGGCAAGTGAGAGTGTATCAGAGGCTGCCTTCCATTCCCCACAGTCCATGTAACTGTCCCTAACAATGCATATGTACGAGGCAGTTTTACCACATCTGAATGTTGCTTAAAGTTCTCCAGTAAAATCGTTCATAGTGTCTTTTTTTATCCTCTTTGATGGCTTGTAAAGCAAAAAACACTTTCAAAATAGTAGGCAAGGGAAGTGGAAGGTGCAGAGAAATTATTATGTTCAGCAATTTCATTTTGAATCATCTCATCAACTGTCATAATTTTCATTGGCAAACATACACATTACCAAAGTTAGCATTGTCTTCTTCAATGACTTTGTCTAGCCAAGTTATTGCTTCTGAGTGCCGATTTTGCTTGATAAGAAAGCAACACATAATCACAGTACGCACCAGACACACTTGTTGTGAAAATCGAGCGGTAAATGCTTTGTCAGCTTTTTCAAGATATTCTTTGTGTTCTGTTGAGTTAGATGGGTACCTGTAAGCTGCAGCATGGTACATACATGGTAGGAGGTTCCTACAACACTCAAATTCTTTATCATCTTGATGCAGGGAGATAATTCTGCTTCTTAGGAAATTGACAAGACAGTTTTCCTGCCAAATCTGTCTATGTGGTTGGGGCAATGTCCAAATAAAAAACTGGGGAAGAGTTTTCCCTTTAAAGTCATTTTGGGTTTTTAACGAGCCTTTTGCATTTTAAAATTCTTTTAGTATGTAAAAACCTTTCCCTTCGGGCTTCCCTTTTTGCTTAGTTGTTAAAAAGGGTATGTTAAAGTGGGGGGTTACAAAAGCCTCTGGGAAAGGTGCGATTTTATGTTTTTTTATGCTATAATATAGCTTCATTTGTTTAAAACGGGTGGAAATTTTTTCTCTAAATTTTGATGTAAAATTAGGGAAAACCAATGACTTTAAATCATCGTAAAACTGAGTAAAAGTGGGCAATGGGGGTTTTCATTTCTCACTGTTTTTAATTTTTCCATAAAAAACTTGGGTTAGCTCTTCTTCAGTTTGGGTTCAATCTTGTTCTCGGGATGAAGAAGTTGGGAAATTGGTTTTTTTTGATGCAGCCCTTTGATGAGATCTGACGAAAAATTTGAAATTCCCCCCCAATTTGTTTTTCACCCATGCTGCCCTGGCCAGGAATTCTCTCACAAGATAAAAGAAGATGTTTTTAAAATTTGGAAGGGAAGTTAGGACCTCTTTCTTTTTTCCTTCAGTGACTGGGTTGCTATAAGAGTTTGATTAAGTTTATTAAGTGCTTGTCTCTGAAGAGTCTTGTGACTATTCTCTTGTATTCTCTTTCTTGTAGCATCGGAAAGATATTCTCCGACTCCTATATCAGGTGGCTGGGCTTGACCTGTTGTGCAACTTATTGGACAAAGTGAAACATCCTTCCCTAGTTACTTCGGATTGTATTGAAGAGCTTTTTCAAACCAGCCTCTTGTTCAATGTGATCTTTCTCCAGATTCAGAGCCATTGGGGGGCCTTCTTTCTTTACATGGCAGGGGCCAATGTACATGCAGAAGGTGGTGTAATATCCGATGGCTTTTTTGTCAGCAGGCTGTCATTTTTTTAGGCAGTACAGTTATTGCTGGACCACAGATTTCAAGCCTTTCATCATTTTCTAGATTTTCAGCCATTTTGTTATAGAACCATTGCTCAACACGGAATTGATCAAGGTATGTGGGCAGTTTTGAGTTTTTAGAGGTATTGATCCTCGCATATCCGACATGAACATCATCAGTTTCAGCAAGTGCATAATTATCATCAGAGTCCACTTTACTTTTGTCAAATGTTACCTGATTTCTTTCCCTGATCATCATCAAATCTCTGTCTGAATATTCACCTTTTATGGTTTTCTTTCCTGATTTTAAAATAACTGGAGGCATATTTAGTCCTTCAGCCGTACTTCCAACTGGTAAATAGCGTAAACCATTCTCTCCAGTTCTTGCAGATTGCATTAAGTCTTGATCAATATCCATATATCTGTTTTTCCGGCGCCAAACGGACGGGAAAGTAGTTTTTTGAAAAAGGTAAAAAAATGTACTTTTGGGGGTATTGAGACACCTTTTTCCTTTTCTTCGTTTTATTTCAAATTTTTAACAGCCCATTCCCCTGAAATTGCAAAAACATAAAAAAGGGGTTGAAAATTTTGTGACTCCTTTTTGTGCTAAACCCAAAATCCTGGGTTTAAATCCCTTTAAAACTATAAATCAACACCCTGCCCACAGCTATAGCTTTAAAAACGCTATTTTTAAAGAAAAAACTTTTAAACAGTTACCATAAACAGCCCCCTTAAAGAGCTATAACATCCCCCAGTTTACCTTCAAAAAAAAAAATAAAAATTTCAAACAGCTATTTTCCCAAGCAAAAATAACATAAAACCGGGTTTACTATCAAGTTATACTATCATCAGCTACATTCAAGCTATAACATCAACAGCAACCTTCAAAGCTATAACATCAACAGCTATCTTCAAAGGCTATAAACATCAACAGCAACCTTCAAGCTATAACATCAACAGCTACTATCAAGCTATAATATCAACAGCTACTATCAAGCTATAACATCAACAGCTACCTTCAAGCTATAACATCAACAGCAACCTTCAAGCTATAACAATCAACAGCTACCTTCAAGCCTATAACATCAACAGCTACCTTCAAAAGCTATAACATCAACAGTTACCTTCAAAGCTATAACATCACCAGCTACATTCAAGCTATAACATCACCAGCTACCTTAGAGCTATAACATCACCAGCTACCTTCAAGCTATAAACATCACCAGCAACCTTCAAGCTATAACATCAACAGCTACCTTCAAGCTATAACATCAACAGCTAACCTTCAAGCTAATAACATCAACCAGCAACTTTCAGCTATAACATCAACAGCTACCTTCAAGCCTATAACATCCAACAGGAACCTTCAAGCTATAACATCAACAGCTACCTTCAAAGCTATAACATTTCACCAGCAACTTTCAAGCATAAACATCAAACAGCTACTTCAAGCCTATAAACATCACCAGCTTTACATTTCCAAGCTATAACATCCACCAGCACCTTAGAGCTATAAACATCACCAGCTACCTTCAAGCTATAACATCACCAGCAACCTTCAAGCTATAACAATTCAACAGCTACCTTCAAGCTATAACACTCCTCAAACCCCTACCTTAAAGCTAAAACATAACCCCCAGAAAAACCTTTTTTCAAGCTATAACATAACAGCTACCTTTCAAAAAGCTATAAACATCAACAGCAACCTTCAAGCTATAACATCAAACAGCCTGACCTTCCCAAGCTATTAACATCACCAGCAACTTTCAAGCTATAAATCACAAGCTAACCTTCAAGCTATAACATCACCCAAGCTTACATTTCAAGCTAATAACAACATCACCAGCTACCTTAGAGCTATAACATCACCAGCTACCTTTTCAAGCTATAAATCACCAGCTTACAATTCAAGCCTATAACATCACCAGCTTACATTCAAGCTAAACAATCAAACCAACTACCTTCAAAGCTATAAACATAAACAGCTACCTTTGAGGCTATAAACATTCAACAAAAGCTACCTTCAAGCTATTAACATCGAACCAGCTAACCTTTCAATATAAATCAACCAACTACCTAACTTCAAGCTATAACATACAACAGCTAACCTTGAGCTATTAACATTCACAGCTACTTTCAAGCTATATTATTAACAACAACCTTCAAGTTATACTATCATCAGCTACATTCAAGCTATAACATCAACAACTACCTTCAAGCTATAACATCAACAGCTACCTTCGAGCTATAACGTCAACAGCTACCTTCAAGCTATATTATTAACAACTACCTTCAAGTTATACTATCATCAGCTACATTCAAGCTATAACATAAACAACTACCTTCAAGCTATAACATCAACAGCTACCTTCAAGCTATAACGTCAACAGCAACCTTAGAGCTATAACGTTAACAGCTACCTTCAAGCTATATTATTAACAACTACCTTCAAGCTATATTATTAACAACAACCTTCAAGCTATACTATCATCAGCTTCCTTCAAGTATAACATAACAGCTACCTTAGAGCT